TCCTCTGTTGTTTATTATTATTATTATTATTAGGTTTTATAAACAAGAATAATGTTCTACAAGTAAGTTTTCTCATGTTGTATGCGTATCACGGAAATAGCATAATAAATGTAACGATGACATACAGCCGTACCTTGGTTCTCGAACGCCTCGAGACTCAAACAACTTGGAACCCAAACACTGCAAACCCGGAAGGAAGTGTTTCGGTTTGCAAACTTTTTTCAGAAGCCGAACGTGCTCCGTTTTGAGTGTTACGCTTCTGATTTGAGGTCTGTCTGGTTTTTTTGCTATTTATTTTGCGTTTTTGCGGCTCTTTTTAGTTTTGTTTTTGCGACTGCGTGGAACCCAGTTCAGCTACTGATGGATTGACTGATTGTGTAACTGCAGCACATTGTTTATCGCTTTCATTTTATGGATCGATTCTCTCGTTACATAGTAAAATCCATGTTCAGTTGCTGTTTTAGGGGTTGTTTTTAAAAGTGTGGAACAGATTAATCCATTTTGCATTGCTTTCTATGGGAAAGCGTGCCTTGGTTTTGGAACGCTTTGGTTTTGGGACTGACTTCCGGAGCAGACTAAGTTTGAGAAGCAAGGGACCACTGTATGTTTCGTTATTAGTGGTTGTTGTGTAAGTTCTTGGTCCAAGAATGGACTTGTCCTCCTCCTCGGTTGAACCCGCAGCCCGGCAGAAGTTCCCTCACTGCTGTCATCCCCAAAACAGGGGAAGAAGGCGCCACACAGCCAGGGCGAAAAGGCGTTCCACAGGGCGGGCGCCACCACCGAGAAGGCCCTCTGCCTGGTTCCCTGTAACCTCACTTCTCGCAAGGAGGGAACCGCCAGAAGGCCCTTGGGAGATGGACCCCGGTGTCTGGGGTGGAGAGGCTCCTTCAGGTCTTCTGGGCCATTTAGGGCTTTCAAGGTCAGCACCAACCCTTTGAATTGTGCTCGGAAACGTCCTGGGAGCCAATGTAGGTCTTTCAGGACCGGTGTAATATGGTCTCCGCTCCCAGTCCCCAGTCTGGCTGCCACGTTCTGGATTAGTTGCAGTTTCTGGGTCACCTTCAAAGGGAGCCCCATGTAGAGCGCATGGCAGTAGTCCAAGCGGGAGACAACCAGAGCATTTAACATAGGAAAACCCCTAAGGAATATGGTATATATTCCTCTCGGCTGCAGATCGGACCTGGCTTGGGCTTGGGTTTGTTGCGTTGTGTCTGCTGCCCCCTGGTGGCCCGCTGGGGATTTGCGCCATCTTTGCGCCCATCTTTGCGCGCGGTTCTGCTTCGTCCTTGCGCATTTTCCTCGCGATGTCATTTGATTTGCAGGGAACCAGCCCGGGGCTGATCGACAATGGAAGAGGTTCAGGAAGACTCTCTGCCCGAGGAGATGAAACCTCCTTGATAGCTCAAGCATGAGACATTCAATGTCACGGTCGTGGGTTCGAGTCCTGCGTAGGGCAAAAAGAACCTCGCCTTGCAGCGGGTTGACCCATAGGGTCCCTCTACACTCCAGCGGTTGGATTTCTCCTCCGCCCCCCCCCGACCTGTCCAAAAACTAATAAAGTTGATTCCGGTGCTGTGATTGGCTGGCCAGTTTTTCTCCCGGTGGACTTTATGAATGGCTGGAGGGAGATGCTCGGATTGGATAACTGTTCTCCCGAGCTAGGAGCGGTGAGTTGGGATTGGCTGGAGGAAGCTAAGCTCGCCTGCCTCTTTTGCCTGCCAATTTGCTGGAAATGGGGAGACGTGAATGGATAGGGTACCAGCTTGAATGAAATATTTATCCAATGAAAATAGGGACATCTTATTCCATCCCCTCCAAGGTTTCTTCCGTGAAAATAGGGACGTCCTATTCCATCCCCTCCAACGTTTCTCCCCTGAAAATTCCTGCATTTGGAGACAAGCTCAACATCAAAAAAAATAAGATCATGGCCACTGGACCCATCACCTCCTGGCAAATAGAAGGCGAAGAAATGTTGGCAGTGAGAGATTTTACTTTCTTGGGCTCCATGATCACTGCAGATGGTGACAGCAGCCACGAAATTAAAAGACGCCTGCTCCTTGGGAGAAAAGCAATGACAAAACTAGACAGCATCTTGAAAAGCAGAGACATCACCTTGCCAACAAAGGTCCGTATAGTAAAAGCCATGGTTTTCCCAGTAGTGATGTATGGAAGTGAGAGCTGGACCATCAAGAAGGCTGATGGCCGAAGAATGGATGCTTTTGAATTCTGGTGCTGGAGGAGACTCTTGAGAGTCCCATGGACTGCAAGAAGATCCAACCTCTCCATTCGGAAGGAAAGCAGCCCTGAATGCTCACTGGAAGGACAGATCCTGAAGCTGAGGCTGCAAGACTTTGGCCACCTCAGGAGAAGAGAAGACTCCCTGGAAAAGACCCTGATGCTGGGAAAGATGGAGGGCACAAGGAGAAGGGGACGACGGAGGACAAGATGGTTGGACAGTGTTCTTGAAGCTACCAGCATGAGTTTGACCAAACTGCGGGAGGTAGTGGAAGACAGGAGGGCCTGGCGTGCTCAGGTCCAGGGGGTCACCACTAAACGATGACACAACAACAATTCAATCCCCTCCAACATTTCTCCCGTGAAAATAGGGACATCCTATTCGATAATAATAAGGAGGAGGTAAGTGACAGGGTGAGTTCCCGTTGCTCGGTCCCTGCTCCTGCCCACCTAGCAGTTCGAAAGCACGTCAAAGTGCAAGTAGATAAATAGGTCCCGCTCCGGCAGGAAGGTAAACGGCGTTTCCGTGCGCTGCTCTGGTTCGCCAGAAGCGGCTTAGTCCTGCTGGCCACATGACCCGGAAGCTGTACGCCGGCTCCCTCAGCCAGTAAAGCGAGATGAGCGCCGCAACCCCAGAGTCGGCCACGACTGGACCTAACGGTCAGGGGTCCCTTTACCTTTAAGTAACTATACAGCCATTAGAAGACACCAGAAGGCTGCCCTGTAAAGAGAAGTTTCTTCATGTATAATTTTGTTTTTGCATACTGTATGTGGCTGGGTCAACCTGGTTAGAGGGGTGGGGTATAAATAATAAAATTATTCACCATCATCATGGAATAGAGTGTCCCTGTTTTCATGGGAGAAATGCTGGAGCGTATGTCCTCGGGTGAAGGGCAAGTGGTGATTAATAAGAATAAGAATATTCTTCTTCATCATCATAATTCAGAACATATCCTGTTGTACACAAACTAAAGGGGAAAAACCGCTTTTCTTCTTCTCTTCCCCTCTGCATTCAGACCTCCACCCTGAAATGGGAACCTGAATCTACACAGATATTTAAAAAAACACTGTGAAAATGCTTTAAAAAACCATTGTAAAATATATATGGAATTTGCCATTAGCTCGTCAGCGCCATCTAGTGCCCCATTTGTACAATGCACCCAAAACACGCTTGAAATGTTGTATCTGCAGCTCTTAATCAAAACTGACCACACGCAAAAGTATTTTTCAGCCTAGATGGGTTTGCAACCTCGCCTCTGCTTTTATTTCTGCCCGGTTGCCAGCCGGACACCTGTTCTGTTTCTTCCCTGCTTTGCTTTTCCGCTACCGCTGCCTCTTGACCTGCCCCAGAGCCGCCTCTCTCAATTCCCTTGATGTTTGTTCGAAAGTTCTCCATAAAAGGCCTTGGACCGTCTGCCTCGCCATTTCCTGGGAGACGGATCCTGTTTCGACTGGGCTCCGAACCAGAGCTGCCCTCCAGCTGCCTGGGGGCAGAGAAGCAGCCCTCCTGAAGAGGGGCTTCTCCGGGGTCCAAGCATCTGGGAAATGGGCCATTTCCTTCGGGGCAGCCGCCCCAGTGCCAAGAAATTCTCGGCTTGCAAGAGCTTCCCAGAGCCTCAAACTCTTCCCCAACAAGTCGATTTGCAAGAGGCTGTTTCGAAAAGGTGAGCTCAGATTTTCTCAGGATCCCAGACGCCTCTGGGCTGCTTGCTCCCTGGCCACAAGGAAGGAGGGCGCTCTGCACATGCTCGAAGGGTGCCCTTTGCATGGCCCTCTGCCGCATCTCGGCTCGGCTTCTGCAAGCAATTTTGCAGTACCAGGACGACTTCTCCTTATCGAAGGAAAGGAGGCAGCTTTTGCAGAGCTGGGCTCAGCCAGACAACCGCAAGGAAGAACGAAAGGCTTAGATCTGTTTGTGACAAGTGATGATTTACGCAGGGCCCAAAAGGGCTTGCGGCGGCCAGGACCCATTTCCACTGGGCTTTTATCTGGAGATGAAAGTATGAGGGAGAAAGCAAGCGGGGCTAAGCTGGAATGCAAAGGCCGCTTCAGGGCCCTGGGAGCACAAGAGCAGCCTCCAAAATACTCCGCAACCCTGTCTTCTGTTTCCAGCTTTCTGCCACGCACTTTGCTTGCTGCTTTGTCTGCCGTCGCCACCATCTTTCTGATTATGAATCACAAAATCGTAGCATTGGAAGGGGACCCCCGAAGGACATCCATCCCAACCCCCTTGCAATGCAGGAATCTCAGCTAAAGGATGCCAGACGGATGACCACCCAACCCTCCAAGGAAGGAGAGTTTGCCGCCTTCCATTCCACGGTCAAACAGAAAGTTCTTCCTGATGTTGAGCCTCTCCTTTCTCGGAACTGGAAGACGTGGGTTCGAGTCCTGCCCTCCGCCAGCTGCTGCTGCTGCTACAACCTTGGGAACTCACCGCGTTTGAGCAGAGTTTGAAGCCCACGGGTTTCGGCCGAGGCCCTGTGCACTCCTTGCAAGATCTCCTTGTTCCATTCCCACCTGTGGGGGCTGGATCCTTTCCTGTGGGTCGGGCCAAGCCTTGGCTCGGCTGCCCCACAGTGCCAGCCGAGGGAGTTTTGTGTCCCTGGCCCAGGCCCTCGCTTCTGCTGGAAAGTTAAAAATGGAAACAAGTGCTTTTCTTTTCTTTAAAGACGCCGAGTTCCAAATAAGGTGTCGGGAGAGGGCTGGAAAGATTTCTCCCCACTTATCGTTGGCTACGTCAGCACAGCCAGGAGCTTAAAACCAGGAGCTCAAATATAGGGGCCCCCCAGTCGCCTGCTTGCCTGCCTGCTGCCTGCCCTCTGCCCTAACTCTGTCCGCAGAATCTCCCGCCAGCCGCAAAGATGGAGGCCATCAAGAAGAAGATGCAGATGTTGAAGCTGGACAAGGAGAACGCCATCGACCGAGCGGAGCAAGCCGAGGCGGACAAGAAGGCAGCGGAGGACAAGTGCAAACAGGTGAGGGGGCAGAAGGCGGGGGCAAGAGGCTTGAGGGGGCATGTGGGGGGAGAGGGGGGGCAAGCTGCCCCACTGGGAGGTTTAATACATACATTAACTGTCACTGCTGCTTTTATTTTGATTATGTGCTCCGTAGATTGATACGGAATGAATCTTTATTGCTAAAAAGCTATAACCAGGCACGTCCAACAGGCAGGTTGTGATCTACTGGTAGATCGCTGGAGTTCTGTGGTAGATCACTGGTAGATCACTGGTCCCCCCCTCAAGAAGCTGAACAAGTCTGGCTCCCAAAAAGCTCAACATTTTTGCCCCGGACCCTTAAAAAACGTGGTTTTCCCCTTCCTAAGAAAAGCTCAACCACTTCAGCCTGAACTCCCCCAAAATGGGCCTTCCTCCTTCTTTAAAAAAAGCAAAAATAGCTCATCAACTCTGACCTGAACCCCACAAAAGGGAGTAGATCACTGTGAGTAGATTGCAGTCTCTTGGGAGTTGGCCACCCCTGCTATATAAGCCGCCGCAATCGGTCGCAACAAGTAGGATGCAAATAATTAATTTAAAACTTAACAACAATAGCAAACATTCAAAAATGCAAAAAAAATCACTCTTGCGTAAGTTAAGCACTCCACTTCTCTCACAGACACCCCCCTTATGATACTTGCCTTGGGGCCCAGCTCTCAACTTACTTGCAGCCGAGGCAAATTTTGCAACCTGTGCAAAATAAATGAAGACATTATCGCCAGCCAGCGAAATAGAGATTTGCTCAAGGGGAGGTCGGTTGGGGAGAGAGCCAAGGATGTAATCGAGGAATTTTTTTTGTCTAGGGGGTGTACATAAAGGGCACGTAGATTTATATTCTGGTTTTATCCTGTGAACCGGCCTGAGACCTTGCGGCTATAGAGAGGTATATATAGTCAACATATAAATTATGCCCATTCTACAGACCGTGCCACTGAGGCACAAACTGCTAGGCGTCTCCAGAAGCAGCTCCTGCTGTCTTCTAGGGGGCTTACTCTCAGGTAAGGCCCTGCTGGGATGAAATGGGGCCTGTTCGCTGCTCCAAGACGCAGGATCTGGTCTGCAGGAACTCTCCAAAGCTTATTCTCATTGTTTTTATCCTTTTTGAGTCCGGACAAATGTAGCAGAGGCAGCCCAGCGATCTCACTGGTTCCCCCGAATTTCCCCAAACAAGAGTGAGGTTGGTGGGAGGCTGGCTGCTTCCCTTCCTCATATTTCCCATGAAGAACAGATGAGCTCATGGCTGGATGTGATGGGCAGGATTAAGAGGCATTTAGTTGCAGTTCTCCGCACCCGGGGAAAGAGCACGGACGGCTCGCTACCTGGGTTTAAGGCTGACCTTCTGGGATGAGGTGCTGGCAAACTCTGGGTCCCAGGGGTCTCCCTCTCCCTCTCTTCCCCCAGCGGCAGTTTAAGCTGCTCCAGCTGGCACCAAAGGCCCAGCCTCAGCTGTCTCTCGGCTGCAGTCCCCCAAACCCAAAGCGGGGAGCGGCCCAGTGACACACTGTGCAACCATAACACCTGTCAAACGTAGGGAAAAATTACTCTGATGAAAATAGGGACGTCCTATTCCATCCCCTCCAACGTTCTTCCCTTGAAAATAGGGACGTCCTATTCCATCCCCTCCAACGTTTATCCCCTGAAAATAGGGATGTCCTATTCCATCCCCTCCAACGTTTCTCCCCTGAAAAGAGGGACGTCCTATTCCATCCCCTCCAACGTTTCTCCCCTGAAAAGAGGGATGTCCTATTCCATCCCCTCCAACGTTTCTCCCCTGAAAATAGGGACGTCCTACTCCATCCCCTCTGGGGCTGTCCCTGGAAAATAGGGGCACTTGGAGGGTCTGTGGAAGGAAAGGGGCCATTAAGGTGTTGGCTGAAGGCCAGGTGAGTGGGGAAGGGGACGAGTGAGAAGTAGCTTCAGGCTCCCCACCCCGAAAAGAACACATTGTGAAGGCCAGAACAGGGCGTTCTTTCCCACAGCCAGATATCTTTATCGCTGGCTGGCTGCAAGATAAGGGGAGTGCTCATCAGAACCAGGGAAACTGGCACCCAGCGCTGGCCTGGAATGATATAAATAGCTGCTTTGAGAAAGCAGGATGGATTTATAAGGGAAGGTGGAGAGGGAGGGAGGGAGGGAGGGAGGGAGAGAGAGAGAGAGAGAGAGAGAGAGAGAGAGAGAGAGAGAGAGAGATAAGGCTCCTGAATACATTTTTTGGCTGCTTGGACCAAGGAGCAAAGGGGTGGTTTTCCATAAGTGGTTGCAAGAGGGTCACTGACCGGCCCCTCCAAAAAAACATGCATCACAATTTAATGTTCAAATAAAACGCTGTTCTCTGACCCAACCAATTAAATCTGCATTGTTGTGGTTTTTCCTCTTGATGTTTCCTTCTCCCTTGCGGAAGCTTGGAGCGCAACATTAAAAAGATTCCTGGTGGATCGCGATTCTCCACTGCAGGCCAGCTTAGATCTGAGTTGAACGCACTAGGAATTTTTTCTTGGGTTACCGTAAAGAAAAACACCAAAGAAAAAACCCAGATTAAAAAAAATCAAATTTTAATCCTGAAAAAGAGGACGTGTCTGGGAGAAATAGGACATATGGCAACCCAACGCCCTATCTTCTTCTTCTTTGGCGATCCCTCGTAGCTGAGTAAGATTGTCTTCCATAAACCCGGTTTTAACAGTGAGTCCGTAAGTGACTGTGGAGGCCAATTCTGGATCACCATGTCCTTCCACAATGGGGACATTGGTTTCCGGGCAGGAGTTGATCCCGGTGAGGGTTTGCCAAGCGTGCCTTCCTCTTGGCACGTTTCTCCCTTGCGTCCTGAGTTTGAGTGTCTTCAAAGCCCACGACACCTTTGGGAAAGGCTGTTCTCCAACTGGAGCGCTCGAAGGCCAGTGTTTCCCAGTTGTCGGTGTTTATACTACATTTTTAAAGACTTGCCTTGAGAGTCTTTGAACCTCTTTTGTTGACCACCAGCATTACGCTTTTGAAGTTCGGAATAGAGTAGTTGCTTTGGAAGACGATCATCAGGCATCCGCACAACATGACCAGTCCAACGAAGTTGCTTTGACACTGGCGCTCTTTGCTTCTTCCAGGACACTGGTATTCGTTCACCTGTCTTCCCAAGTGATGTGAATGTAATAATCTGCAATATTATCTCTCCCTCTCTTTCGGCAGGTGGAGGATGAACTGGTGTCTCTGCAGAAGAAGCTCAAAGGCACAGAGGACGAGCTCGACAAATACTCCGAAGCCCTCAAGGATGCTCAGGAGAAGCTGGAGATGGCAGACAAGAAAGCCACGGATGTACGTAGGCCGGCCATGCCAAACTTGGGGCTGGGGGGGCAACTTTCTCTTGGTTTTTCGGTCTATGATTCCCATCAACTTCTGCAGTGGACACACCAAGGCAGCAGTACTTGGCCGGTAGGGTAAAGGCAAAGGGACCCCTGACCATTAGGTCCAGTCATGGCCGACTCTGGGGTTGCGGTGCTCATCTCACTTTACTGGCCGAGGGAGCCGGCGTACAGCTTCCGGGTCATGTGGCCAGCAGGACTAAGCCGCTTCTGGCGAACCAGAGCAGCGCACGGAAACACCGTTTACCTTCCCACCGGAGCAGTACCTATTTATCTACTTGCACTTTGACGTGCTTTTGAACTGCTAGGTTGGCAGGAGCAGGGACCGAGCAACGGGAGCTCACCCCGTCGTCGTGGGGATTTGAGCCGCCGACCTTCTGATTGGCAAGTCCTAGGCTCTGTGGTTTAGACCACAGCGCCACCCGCATCCCTGTCCTGGGTGCAAAAGCTGATGGGTTCCGGTAGCGTAGAAAGCAGGGCCGTCTTTAGCTTATGCACCGCCAGGGTGGAAAGATCTGCCCAGCACCCCCAAATTTAGTTAATTTCGCGTGCACGGCGCCGTTGAGAATGACAAGTGCCGCCACTGGCGTGGCGCGTCTTTGGTAAATGAGCACAGAAAGTTGAAAGTTCTTTAGTGAAACAGTAGGTATACATATATATATATATTATTAGTTTTTAACCTATCATTTTCAACAGTAATTAAACATACTTTTACATCTTATTCAATTTTTTTGATTTCCATCCATCCTGTCTGAAAATTTTCCAATCTCACCTCTTAGTATGCATTTCTGATCTTCCCTATTACATTTCAAACTCATAACCAATATCTCTGTCTTTTTCTACTTTGTAACACTTTGTATATTTCTCCTTACAAAACTTCTTGCAGTCCTACTAGCGTGATTTGTTGATGACAGTTGCTCTTCAAATAATTCATATACTTCTTCCAATCTTCTGTAAATCTCTGGTCCCGCAGCAGTAGGTATCCATTTCGGTAACACCTAGGTATATATGTATTTTGTTTTTCTAGCTTGATGAAAATGATTAATTATTTCGTAACAGGTAGATAGTTAAGAGCTTAGGCGGCTTCAGTGCCGGTACCTGGTGCCCCCCAGAATTCGGCGCCCGGGTGCCCCGCACCGCTTGTACCCCCGGGTAAAGACGGCCCTGCTAGGAAGGCTGGGGGGGGCAATGGGTTGGCACTGGGGATGTGGGGCGGCACCGTGGCTTTGGGTACCCCTCCCAAAGAAAGTTCAACCACTTTGGGTGGTTTCCAAAAGGAGGAGAAGGAGGAAAGCCAAAAAGGCTTTGGAGGACCTCCCCGAAAAAGTTCAGCTACGCCAGGGATGGGGGCTGAGGAAGAAATATAAAGTGCCTGTTCAGGTTGGCGAAGACGTTTGGAGAGCAGGGGTGCCAGCTGGAATAAAAGACTGGATAAAATTATGGCTGCAAAGATAAGAAACCAAGGTGCAAGAAAAGCGTTGGGAGAATTCAGGGAATGTTGAAAGAATTTCAGCATCTATCCCTGTAGAGGACCAGGCAGCTAAATTAAGGAGGAGGAGTGGAAGGATATTTTGAAGAACTCAAGAGTAAAGAGGAACCCTAGCGGGGGGAGAACCTCAGCTCCAGATTTGGGGGGGGGCTACGCCCCTGTCCCCGGCGCCTTTTTCCCGTGCGCCTCGGCTGGAGACCCAGAAAGAGCGCGTGGCTTCGGGTGCCTTTCCAAACCCCGAGGGAGGAGCACTGCGGAATTTTTTGGGTGGGGGGGCCTTTCTTGAAAATGTGGGGGTGTCCGGCTCCCCCTAGATGCCCCCCCCGTGGCGAGCTCCGTTGCCTTTAGCAGAGACACCTGCCGTCCAGGAGGGCAGAGAGGGGTCTCCGTCCAGGGTTGCTTCCCTCGAACAGAGCGGGGGCGGGGGTCCCGTCTGATCGCTTGGGGCTCCCTGTCCCCTGAGCAGGAGCAGCAGCCCCGCAGCCCAGCCTCTGCCCGCCCCGTCCTGGCTAGCGGACCTCGGAGGTGCCCCCCTCCTTTGCGCGCCACCCCGAGGGGGCTGTCCTCGGGGTTGTCCCAGCGGTGGCCACGTCACGATGCGCCAGCGGTGCCGACGTCACGGCCCCTCCCCCCGGTCCCTCCCTCCTCCTCCTCCTCCTCCCGCCCGACGCCGCTGCGCCCTCGCCAACGCGCACCGGAGGAGCCGCGCCCTTTGCTTCCTTTTGCCGTCGCTACCGCCGCCGTTGCCTCCTCCACGTGTGCCGCCGGGATCCGACGGGATGGCCGCCGCCACGGGCTCCCTGGAGGCGGTGAAGCGCAAGATCCAAGCGCTGCAGCAGGAGGCCGACGAGGCCGAGGACCGCGCCCAGATCCTGCAGCGCCAGCGCGACCAGGAGCGCGAGCTGCGCGAGAAAGTGAGAGCCGTCGGAAGAGGAGCCTCGGCGGGGCGCCTCCTCCGCCGCTTGGCGCCTCTCCAGCCTTTCTCTCTCCGCTCTCCTCCTCCTCCTCCTTCTCTGCGCTCCTGCCGCCCCGGGACGCCCCGTCGGGGGAGAAGGGCGCGCCGTCGCTGCTGCCGCCCCTTCCCCTCGCTTAGGATCGCCTTGTGCCGGAGCCGGGAAAGGCCGAAGAGGCGCCCCTCGGGGGGAGAGCCCGGAGGGGAGCCCCAGCCGTCGAGGGTCCGCCCGACGCCTCTGCAAGATGCTCCCGGGGCTGCGCGCGCCTTCTCCCGGCTCCTTCTGCGCCTCCTTCCCGCTGCGCCTGGACGCCTGGAGACCCCAGGGCCGGACCTCGCTCCAACGGGACGGGACACCTCCTGCTTCTCCTCCTCCTTAGGCTTTTTCTCTCCTACCTGTCCTCACCTGGCGTCCTCCTCCTTCTCTTTCCGGGCCTTTCGGGGGCTGCCAGGTAGGAAGCAAGGGGAGCCCCCCCAAGGAGACCCGCTACTGCCAGAGCAAGCACTGGCTGTGGGTGGAAATGTGGGGCGCGGGGGGGGGCACCCTAAATCTTAAACCATCCCCCCTAGCCTCAGGAGACCTAGTTAGCCAGAGTTGGAGCGATGGGGGGGGTGTTAACTGGGTTTTTTCTGCCCCCTTTGCGTGTTCCAAACTGGCTCTTTGACCCGGGTGAAATTCAGCCTCGTTTCGTCCTTGCGTCACCCAGCCCCAGTGGCTCACCCCCCCCTCTGTGTTTCCCCACAGGCAGAAGGGGATGTGGCTTCCCTGAACCGCAGGATCCAGCTGGTGGAAGAGGAATTGGATCGGGCCCAGGAGCGCCTGGCTACCGCGTTGCAGAAGCTGGAGGAAGCCGAAAAGGCGGCCGATGAAAGCGAGAGGTACGTCGTGGGGGGTGGCGACCTTGCATGTGGCATAAGGGGCTTGCAGAGGAAGGTGCGTAGCTGCCCAAAGTAGTAATCATGATGAAAATGGTTATAATAATAATACCCCGCCACTCTGGGTGATTTCCAACACGCATAAAAACATACACCAAGCATCAAAAACTTCCCTATACAGGGCTGCCTTCAGATGTCTTCTCAAACTTGACATCTAGTGGGAGGGCGTTCCACAGCGCGGGTGCCACCACCGAGAAGGCCCTCTGCCTGGTTCCCTGTAACCTCACTTCTCACAGGGAGGGAACCACCAGAAGGCCCTCAGGAGAGGGACCCCGGTGTCCGGGGTGGAGACGCTCCTTCAGGTCTACTGGGCCGTTTAGGGCTTTCAGTGTCAGCCCCAACACTTTGAATTGTGCTCAGAAACGTCCTGGGAGCCAATGTAGGTCTTTCAGGACTGGTGTTATGTGGTCTCTACTCCCAGTCCCCAGTCTGGCTGCTGCATTCTGGATTAGTTGCAGTTTCTGGGTCACCTTCCAAGGCAGCCCCACAGAGAGTGCATTGCAGTGGTCCAAGCGGGAGATAACCAGAGCATGCACCCCTCTAGCCAGACAGTTTGTGGGCAGGAAGGGTCTCATCCTGCCTAGCAGATGGAGCTGGTGGACAGATGTCCTTCCTGGTTGCAGAGTAGTGGGGACGGGCAAGGGAGTCTTCCCTCCCACCTTTTGCTCCTCCCAAATTTAGGATTCGTCCCCAACTGCGACCGTTGGAACGAGTAGACCCCAAATTAGACATCTCTCAGTTCCGAGACACGGGTTCGACCTGGTCTCATCCGACAAGGGCCTGAGCGTTGCAGGTGGGGAAGGACAGGTGTTTGGGAGTTCAGAACGGCTCCTCTTGTGTCTCCAGAGGCATGAAGGTGATCGAAAACAGAGCCATGAAGGACGAGGAGAAGATGGAAATTCAGGAGCTGCAGCTGAAGGAAGCCAAACATATCGCAGAGGAGGCCGATCGCAAATACGAAGAGGTGAGTTGGGGGGCTCTCCTGGGGGGAAGTGGTGATGGTGGGGGGCTGCACAGGGCCAGGTTTGGAGGCAGACCCCTCTAGCAGCAGCTAACCCCCCCCTTTGGTGTTCCTTGCCGCAGGCAAAATGGACCTGAATCGTTCAAAAAACCCAATCGTTATGATTTTTAAAGGCATTTTCAGAACGAATTCTTAAGGGGGGGGACTTTCTGGGGTTTGTTTTTACAAGCGAGTTCCTAAATCTGTTCAGATTTAAACAAGCAGAAAGCAAACAACGCTTTTGGGTTGAGACAAAATTGCAAGGGTGCAGAACAGGAAACATTCAAAAGCCCTGGAAGAAGAGACCAAGACGTGATTGTAACAAGGTTTCCAACGTTAAGAGCAGGAATCAAAACTTTCGTAGAGAGAAAACAACAGATTGAATTGTGTTACTTATCCATGAACGTTTCAGCAAAGTTTCTGCTGTAATTATACTGAAGATTTGACATTGCAGTGCAGATCTTCCTTCTCTGCCTTTCAAACTCAAGCCCCACAAATATCTCCCTGCCCTTTAAAAGTCAGTATTTGATATTCTTCAACTAGGACATATGGAAACAAAGAAGCGCTCAGCTGCATGAATAGAAAGCAGCGATACCAAATCTGAAGGTTCTGGCAAAAGAACCTGAATCGCTGCATTTAAAAAAAATTTTTTTGCAACTGCAGGGAGATAAATCGCTGGCTCTGCGATTTGGGACAGAGCAAGCTGCGACCGTTAGATCGAGAGATAAAGTTGTGAGGTCACTTCCTGCAGCTCAGAGGGTTGCATCCGGCTTGGAGGCCAGGGGCATGTCACAGCACACACACACACCCCTGCAAAAAATTGGCGGCTTCCTGTGTTCCTATCTGGTTTTTGCAAATCTTTTCTTTCACGCCACGTGGAGTCTGTGACCAGTGCCGGATTTACGTATAAGCTAAACAAGCTCTAGTTTAGGGCCCCACTCTCTTGGGGGCACCCCAAAAAATTCAAAGGGGAAAAAAAACCTGGATGTGCATTTCTAAAATATAAGATAAGAAAAGAAATAAAATAAAGCCTACATACAGCAACAGTGTTTTGTGTTGTCTAGGCTCCTATTTGTGATGTGCAAATGGCTTGAGATACCTATGAGGTCCATCAATGACCATATAGCATATATTCAACACAAAAAACCAGCGGCAATTTGTTGTGGACAAAGGACAGCTGGACATAGAAAGGGCCCCGTTACCTTCAGGAGCTTAGGGCTGCATCAAACCTAAATCCGACCCTGGATCTATCCATGCCGTAACTCAGCCTTTCTCCACCTGTGGGTCCCCAGATGTTGTTGAACTACAACTCCCATCACCCCTAGCTAGCAAAGCCACAGCTCAGGGATGATGGGAGTTGTAGTCCGACAACATCTGGGGACCCACAGGTTGAGAACCGCTGCCCTAGCTGGCAAGGTCCAGGATTTTTATGGGGTGTGTGTGTTACAGTCTGTCTCCCCTTACCCACGATTTTGTAAACTGGTACCCCCCTCCAATTCTGGGCTCCTTCTCTCCCACTTCCCCCTTTGCAACCGATGGGCTCCTTGCAAATTTTCAGATTTTCTCCAGCTGGCTGCTTTGACATTAGGAGGAAATTCCTTTTCGATATTTCCTGCCCCTCTATTTTTGGAGCCCTGCAAAGGCTCCCGAGGTTTCGTCTTCTCTGATCCGTTACGCTTCCTGCAGGTTGCACGGAAACTGGTCATTCTGGAGGGAGAACTGGAAAGAGCGGAGGAGCGAGCCGAGGTTTCTGAATTGTGAGTATCCCTTGACGCATCTGAATGGAGCCGGGAAGCACCTCTGCCCCAGCAAGGCTGCTTTGGAAAGAGATTTCTCTAGGGTTGCCATTCAGTACTTGGGCGTGATCTCAGTGGGGTGGGGTTTTTTTGGTGCCTCGTTGATTTTAGTGGGACATGGGGGGTTTCCAGGGATTGGGGGAGCAGGAGGTTAATGGGAAGTAGATTCTGGGGGGCACAGATTGCCCCCATCTCTGCTCAGGGTCGTGACAACTGGACCTGAACTCGCCACTTCAGCCAGAAACACTCATTTGTGTGAATATTGGGACTCTGCAATAAATAAGGAAGTCGGCTCTCCCAGCAAAGGCGGTGTTTAAAGTGTGTGTGTGTGTGTGTGTGTGTGTGTGTGTCTATCTATCATCTATCTATCTATCATCTATCTATCTATCTATCTATCTATCTATCTATCATCTATCTATCTATCCGTCTATCTATCTATCTATCATCATCTCAATATTTGGATCTTGAATTGTTCTTTGTTGTATGTTTATATTTTTTACAATCACACACACACACATATATGTGATTGTAAAAAATATAAACATACAACAAAGAACAATTCAAGATCCAAATATTGAGATTACTCTGAATTTCCCAACTCCATCTGTTCCATGGGTCCTAAGGGTAATATTTACAACTGCATATCCATACTTATCCAAGTTTTATCCTTCCTAATTATCCATACTTTCTGTTACATTACAAGTGTATCCATATTCGTTTTATAACATAACATAACAACTATTACATAGCTGACTAAATTAAAATATACCTAATTGCTATAGACTTCCCTTCACTGTATATAAATGCAACGCGATTAGAAATATTATATTAGAAATTTTTATAAATTCTCCTATACCCCCCCACTCCTCTTCACCCATGTGAGATCTCAATATTTTTTTTACTTCTTCCATCTTGTTGTGTTGTTGTAGTTTAATAATTATCCAGTTGCTTCTTTTATCATTTCATTGCTTACCTGCACGTTTTACACATTATCTATTAATGTTCCAGTTCCGGAACCATGTTTTTTCATGTATATTATCTCCCAGAGAGAGTTTAAAGTCATGGGGGCTCTTGAATGCGTTGTTAAACAAAGGCGGGGGGGGGGAACCCACTTGGGAGAGTAGGGGGAACGCCGACAAGCACTGACCCCCAGACCCTATTTCCCCCTCTGGCAGGAAGTGCAGTGACCTTGAGGAGGAACTGAAGAACGTCACCAACAACCTCAAGTCGCTTGAAGCTCAGTCGGAGAAGGTTGGTAGCAGCCCTTGGAAGAGGTTGGGACTGAAGAGGCAGGCTGGCTGGGAAGTGGGGGCTCCTCTCCCTAGCCCCCCAACAAGCCCAGCCTTGTTTGGGGAGAGCGGCCGTCTGCAGAGAAGCTGGGAAACAGCTTGATCCTTGAGGCTTCCGTCTGTTGGCTCTTGAGGAGGACGCCCCAGGGCGCCGCTCGCCTTGGGGTGACTAGCGAGTGTGGGAATCAGCGGCGGTCTCAACTGTTGCCCAGGATGTCCTAGGAATAAAGGAGCCTGTTTTTGCCCTGTTTTTTTATAGTACTCTGAAAAAGAGGACAAGTACGAAGAGGAAATCAAGGTTCTGACCGACAAGCTGAAGGAGGTGAGGTTCCTGGGTGGCCGAGTTGGTTTTGGGGTGGGTTGGGGTCCCTGCTCAGTGGTCACAGTTCCCTTTTCTCGATCTCCTCCGTGTTTCTAGGCTGAAACGCGCGCCGAGTTCGCAGAGAGAACGGTTGCCAAACTGGAAAAGACGATCGACGACCTGGAAGGTATGAGGCTGTTGCGTTTGAAGTGGGTGTGATTTAAGTTGCTGAGTTAGTATTAGGATTTCTCTTGCTGTGTGTCTGTGGTTAGCCCCAGGAAGTACATATCTGCCCCCTGAGCTGTGGCCGGACTCTCACCTCTGTGTGGTCAGGCTGAGAGTGAAGACCAGGAAGTCTTGGGGTCACTTCAGTCCCTGTACAGTGGTCCCTTGGTTCTCAAAATTAATCCGTTCCGGAAGTCCGTTCCAAAACCAAAGCGTTCCAAAACCAAGGTGCACTTTCCCGTAGAAGGGAATGCAAAACGGATTAATCCATTCCAGACTTTTAAAAACAACCCCTAAAACAGCAACTTAACACGAATTTTGCTATCTAACGAGACCATCGATCTATAAAACGAAAGCAATAATCAATGCACTGTACTATTAAATAAATAAGACAGTATTGTAGATGATAAAAATGAAACTTTATTTTTTGTCTTCCCTGCACTGATGATGGTCATTGTTTGGGTGGGGGGCTTTTATCCATTTCCACAGCTATACAATCAATCAATCAGTAGCTGAACTGGGTTCCGCACAGTCACAAAAACAAATGAACCGAAAAAGCTTCAAAAACAAGAATGCAAAATAAGGAGGAAAGGCGCCAAACTTAATCCGTTCTGGAAGTCCATGTGACTTCTGAAATGTTCGGAAACTGAGGCGCGGCTTCTGATTGGCGCAGTCGCCCCGGAAACAATAGCCGACAGCCGCATCGGACGTTCGGCTTCCAAAAATCATTCAAAAACCGGAACACTTACTTCCAGGCTTTCGGAGTTTGAGAACCAAGGCATTTGAGAACCACTTTATTGTCCTTTTTGAAAAATTACTGGGCTTTAACGTAGGTGGAAGTGTTTGGGACAAACTAATGCCTCTCTTATTGCTGAAATCTTTCTGAAAATCTCCTCTGAAATGTTTCTGTGTGTATTTTTTTAACGTTCCCTTTCCTCCTTCTCCCTTTTCTCCTCCTCCTGCTCTGTTTCTCTGTCCGGCAGACGAGCTGTATGCTCAAAAGCTGAAGTACAAAGCGATCAGCGAGGAGCTGGACCACGCTTTGAACGATATGACTTCCTTGTAGGAAGATAAATCGATTGCTGTGACCTCTCTGCCAGCTCTCCTGTCCTGCCTAAGAACTTGCTGCCTCCGTGTGCCGCCTTCACAAGTTTCCCGGTCTTTTTTCCTGTCTTCCTTTTTTCTGTAAAAACTTGCTTCCATTAAAAAACCCCTAAAGTTCTTGTATTCCTTCTCTGCTTATTCATTTTCTCCGTTTCCTATACAAAAGGCGTCTCTCCCTCTCGCTTGCTTCTCTATTATTAGACGGTTTTCCGAGGTCTAAGGTGGCTTAATAGCTTAAAACAATTCATACAGAAAAAGATTTCACAGCACTCAAATGGACTAACTAGCCAAGCCGAAAGCTAGAGGCAAAAAATGTCGGTTTGCTGTTCTGTTTTTAATTATTTCCTTGTTTTTATCCTGTATTTTATTCTGCCCTGAGATCTTATGATGAAGGGTGGTAGACAAATCTAATAGATAAATTAAATATTACACCACAGCGCTAGATGGGCTGTGGTTTTTACCCGAACTTCCACATACCCTCAAGAAAGATGCCTTGTTTCTATGTGACCCTAGTCCTTTTTGTAGCTTGCTGGAAATCATGGATCTCAGAGACAAATAGCCAATTCTCCATCCAGCCAATTGTCTGGGATGGTGGGGGTGGGAATTACAGCGTGGCATTTTGGGGGGCACAGCTGGTTTCCTTCAATTGCCTTAAAACGTATGCACCAGGCGTAAGAAAAGCGCTTGCCTGGAGAAAAGCTTATTCAGAGGGGTGGCCGCCTTGATAAAAAACCCACAAGAGGAGATTGGTTGCAACTAGAATAGAGCCGTCCTAGTCAGACATGCCCCTTGAAACGGGCGTCTCAAAATAAACTTGTCTCATTCATTCTCATCAGAAAAAGTTGCTCAGGCGAAAGAAGAGAACCTGACGTTGCACCGGACGCTGGATCAGACCCTCAGCGAGCTCGGCAGCATATAACTCCGCGCCGGAAAAAGCACCCGGACTTCGGGAAGCCGAGAGGATCCTGCCAAAAATAGCGGCTTCCTCTTTGAATCCACATCTCCTCTCCTGCTTTCTCTCTCTTGTCTTCCCCACCTTTCAGATCACACAAAATGCCAACCTTCTCTTATCCTCCCTCTTTCCCCCTTTAAGCATTGAGGTTTTGGGCACCAACTGAATGTAGTTTATTTTTTGTACGTTCGTAATCCTCTGCGGCAGAACGTTGCGAAACCAGGAAAGCTGTGCGCCAAGGCATCTGTTTCCCGCAGGGCTGCTCCGAAGGTGTTAACTTCTCTCAATAACTGGAAACGCACATGTTTTGTGCACAACCGAGCAGGGAGCACGGGCCCAGTTGAGGCGACAGGGAAGCGGAGCTCATGGCGGTAGTTAGCGTCATTTTCTTAGCTGCCGTTTCTGACTGCAATCGCAAAAGGGCGGAAAACTCTCTTGCAGAAGCGCAAAGTTTATGCAGAAAGCCCGCAACGTTCCGCCGGAAGACGGCTTTCTTTCGCCGTCTTCCTCGTTTACAGAAAGTTCGTAAAACTAGAAACTTACACATTCCATGGGAAGGCTAGATGCACTGGCTTCCTAGTTTACAGAGCTGTGCCAAAATACTATTTCTTTGTGTGTGTGTGTGTTTTGTCTCCTTGAACATCTTGAGAAGCAGACCAAAAAAAGCAGAAGTCATTTCCCGTTGGCCAATCTTAGGCTGCTCTGACGGGGAAACGCCGGCTTCTGCACTTCTGTATTTATTAATTTTTTTGCGAGGGTGGAAGGAAGGGAAGCGGGCAACATGAATTCAACCACCCAATCCCTCTAAATGTATCCTGTTAACATGGCAATAGCTTTTTTTTTTATTTTTAAGCTTTTCATCTAATAATAAAACCTTTCTCTCCCCTATACACATTTCTACTTTGTGGGGCATTTGTTAACATAATGAATCGGGGCCGGGTTTGGGTTTGATGCGGCCCTCAGCTCCTGAAGGTAACGGGGCCCTTTGTATGTCCAGCTGTCCTTTGTCCACAACAAATTGTCGCTGTTTTTTGTGTTGAATAGATGCTGTATTGTCATTGATGGACCTCATAGGTATCTCAAGCCATTTGCACATCACGAAATATGCATTTTATCAAAGTAATTGTTACAACCAGTCCATGTAGAATGCAGACACCCTATATAGAGAAAGGGGCAAAGCAGTGATATTTTAGGGAGCAGGCGGGGCCCATGACTTACACCAGAGGAGCCTAGACAACACAAAACAGTTGCTGGATGTAGGTTTTAGTTTTTTATCTTATATTTTGGAAATGGACATCCAGGTTTTTTTCACCTTTGAATTTTTTTGGGGGGCCCCCAAGAGAGTGGGGCCCTTAGCTAGAGCTTGTTTAGCTTATACGTAAATCTGGCACTGTAATGAATATGGATTTAGTGCTGAAATCGTACCAAAGGGCACAGGGGTGTGGGGTTTGGAATAAGAGGTGCTCCCTTCCCTGAATCGGACAGGGAGCAGCAGCAGTGTTCAGGGGAATGACAAACCGCTTGCTGGTTTTTTTTTTTTTTTTGAAGTTCTGGAGCGTTGGAGACTTCTGGCTGGCCGGAAAAGCTGTAGAAAGAGAGGAATGTTTCTCTGGCATTTCAGACTCTTTCTAGGTCATCGGCAAATGTGTTTTGGTGGGGAGATGGGAGGAGAGGCTCTGCTGATCGCATCAGAAGGTGGTTCCCACCCAGTGGGGTTGGCATTGCTTCTGCTGGAAACTATTTTCCGCGAGAGACTTGAGAAATGATTCCCAAATGCTGGCTGTCTTCAGGCAAATAAACGCTGCCGTAGCTGCTGCCTAGCACAGCCTCCCTGGGGAAAAAGGGATCCCTGATTTAATGTGTGTCCTGCTTTTCACGGTTCCACTTACTGAATAGTGCCAACAAGTCCCTTATTGACTTATGGAAGGCTCAGACAAGAATAAAACCACGCCTGGCTTTGATTTGGAGGCAGCTGTCTCTGAGAAACAGTAGAAAGGAAAAGGCATTGATAGGGGCCCTTGAACTAAAATCAGAAGCCAAAAAGTTGGTGCATGTGCCTGTTTTGTGTTTTTGCAGTGTTAACACTTTTTATAAAACGGATTGAGGGGCTCCTGTTTCTGTTTCCTTTAGCCTGTCCTTTTCAAACACGCAAGCAAGTTTGTGTGTTTCAGGACAAGGCTGATGTTGACTTAGCCACACCTGAAGCTGGCTCTGCCCAAAGTTGGGTCACTTCCACGTTTAAGAACGGCAATGAGGATAAAAGGTAAAGGTAAAGGTACCCCTGCCCGTACGGGCCAGTCTTGACAGACTCTGGGGTTGTGCGCCCATCTCACTCAAGAGGCCGGGGGCCAGCGCTGTCCGCAGACACTTCCGGGTCACGTGGCCAGTGTGACAAAGCTGCATCTGGCGAGCCAGCGCCGCACACGGAAACGCCGTTTACCTTCCCGCTAGAAAGCGGTACCTATTTATCTACTTGCACTTAGGGGTGCTTTCGAACTGCTAGGTTGGCAGGCGCTGGGACCGAGCAGCGGGAGCGCACCCCGTCGCGGGGATTCGAACCGCCGACCTTTTGATCGGCAAGCCCTAGGCGCTGAGGCTTTTACCCACAGCGCCACCCGCGTCCCGCAATGAGGAAGGATAGGTTCGTGTAAAAGGAGTCGTCTGCCTTTTGCTTTAAAATACATTCATTCGCCTCTTTGGACAGAGAGACGCTGTTTTTATGTGTTTTTAATTTTCTTCAGGAGCAGTTTTGGTTTTAAAATGTTTATTAACAAGTCCCCGTGCGCTGGGCTTTCCTAGTCAAGTGCCGAGAGGAGGAAAAGCAATGCGTTTTGATTGCTGGTTTAATGAAAACGATGCAAATAGGCGTTATATGTCTTGGCAGCTGTCACTAGCCATGTTCTAGGAAGAAGGGGAAACGCCCTCAAATACGGGGCAGGAGAAGGAGAACCGATGAGCTGGCGGTAAATAAAGCAAAACACATTAACCGTTTAGTCACAGAATCCTGATCAAACCAAACGTTTTGTATATGGCCTCCCTTGCCTTTATTTAAGCTAGTGTCAGATACATTGTTTAAATACGTGATAATATAATGGAAAGTGGAGATTTTCGGCAGGTAAAGAACAGCAGCCATTTACTTGAAGCTGTAAGATCCAGGTGTTCAATCTACTTTAATACGCAAGTTTAATCGAACCAGATACAGAAGGTTGTGCCGAACAAGGTCTCCAATCCGGAAACTGTCCTGTCTGCTGAGTTTGTGCCCTTTTAGCAAAACGAGACAAGCCTGGGGAGCAGGGGAGAAGCAAAACAGAAATGGCTCATTTGGTCCAGCTGACTTTTGGGATGTCGTAATGTTCTGTCAAGGTGTCCAGGTGCCGATTGAAATCCTAGGACGGGAAAGGAGAGAGAGATGGAAAATCAAGGCAACCTAAGCGACTTCAATCATCTCGGAATATATTTTAAAACCCACGTTTAATTATATATGCCTGCCTATATATTGCTATAGCCTGATCAATGCTAACGGAAGGCAGATTAGCCCCGCGTTCCAGTTAGCCGGCCACGGCAAGAAAGCATCGCTTGCCGGGCACATCGCTGAGGCTGGCTTGCGTGTGGCGTGGGTGAGCCCTTCTCTGCAAGCAAACTGGTTAGATTTGACAGCAATTCGGAGCCCCGCTTGCAGCCCAAATCTGGCTATAAGAACAGGATTCATCAGGGGGAAAAGAGGACACTGATTTTCACAAAACGTGCAAAGTTAGAAATTGCTTCTATACAAAATGCATTGCAGAGGGGGAGACTGTGGGCAAGGAATTACCGGTCTGCTGGCTAGACGCCCCAGCCTGCCAAACAGAAGGCGTTTCCTCTGTAACACAGAGGCACACAGCCACCCTGAGGCAAAGAGGGAGACCAGGAAATTCTCTCTCCTAATATTTGTGATGACAACCCAGGGGGGAAACCCCTAACACCCCACCTCTCTCTTCTTCAAGCCTCAGCCTAGGATCCCTGAAGGAGCGTCTCCACCCTTATTGTTTTGCCCGGAGACTGAGGTCCAGCTCCGAGGGCCTTCTGGAGGTTCCCTCCCTGCGAGAAGTGTGGTTACAGGGAACCAGGCAGAGGGCCTTCTCAGTGGTGGCACCCTCCCAGCAGATGTCAAGGAAATAAACAACTATCTAACTTTTAGGAGACATCTGAAGGCAGTCCTGTTTAGTTAAGTTTTTAATGAGCGATGTTTTATTGTGTTTTTAATATTCTATTGGAAGCTGCCCAGAGTGGCTGGGGAGGCCTGGCCAGATGGGCGGGGTATAAGTAAGAAGTTATTATTATTATTCAAGCAATACATGGAGGAGGCCACAGAGCTCGGAGGTCAGGGATGTCATGCTTCACATGCAGAAGGTCCCTGGTTCCACGATGTGGCCGAAGGACCCGGGCAGTAAGTGTTAACAAAGAGATGGACCTTCTCTGCCTACACACCAGAGTCCTTGCAGTCCTTCCTCTCTGCTTGCTGCTGCGGGATCCCTCACCTCTTTGTACGCCCATTCCTCCCGTCCTTCCCTTCGCACAGGAAAACCATTCCCCAGAACCTCTTGTCAGAGCAAGCGTGCTTAAGGCAGCATCTCTCCCCCTTGGGGCAGCGACTCACCTCGACTCTCTGCTTGTGGGTTTTGGATGCTTTCTTCAGGATCCTCTCGATTTGCTGCAGGGCAGGGGGAAAAAAGAAGAGCGGTTACTTTTGTCCCTCCTCAGTGCATCTCCCCTGTGTTATAGGAATTCTAAGGTCTTATATATGTAAAATAAACGTTCATAAACGTACAAGGCAAACACATACGTAAGGATATAAACCACGTGTCTGAAATAGTACAGGAGAGCAATCCTGAAGCCATTTGGACTCTCCCAAATTGACCTCAAATATTTCTCTGCAAGGAGGAAGGAAATGGGAAAAAACTTTCCGAATGCCTTTGGACTGTAGGGGCTTAAGCCTCCCTGAAAATACAGTCTGGCAAGTATCTGTTATGAATATGCATAAGAGATTCGGGAACTGAGTACTGACCATCTCCAAGGAATGGCCAGGCTACCCAGAAAAGGCAATTGATAAGGCATGATCAGGTCTCCTGGCAGACAGGAGAGAAGCAACACCCTCCCATTTCTGCTGGGGACCACCTCTTTCTGTGATGTATGCCTGATGTTTTGGGGGTGGTCTTGAGCTACAGGGTTGTCTATATAGGGGCTTGTGCACCATTGTTCTGGGTTCCTCCTGCGTGTGGTGAGTGGGGACCCTGTTGCAACAGTTCCTTGAATAAAGATCAGGCTTACTAGCGGCTTTGCTTCTCAATATTCTCTGCTTGGCCTCTGTTGTTTTCTCCTACAGACTCTATATGGGCTCTTGGGTACCCCATAAAGGAAAGGGAGCAGTATTTTTCTTATAACACCTGCTTCTGGGTGAAACTGCCCCCCCTTGCCTGCTCCCGGCAAGCACCCACCCGCTTCTCCTGCATCTTCTCGTAGGCCAGCTGCGCTGGGGTCCTCTTGTCCAGGGCCCGCTTTTCCTCCTCCTCCTCCTCCTGCATCTTGCTGCTCACGATCTGGTCCACGATCTTGCTCTTCTCCTTATCTTTCTTTTTCTTCCTGCAAAGAGAAAAAAGCCGTCTAGCTTGGCGGCTGCCCCCTTTCCTCCCGTGGCAGGGAGTTCCGCAGGCTCCTGGGGCGCCATCCCTCCCCGCGCGTGCGCATAAGCGCTTTGTAAGTCCTAAGGGCCTTATAGCCCAAAGCAGCAGGAAGTCCCTCCCGCGCCACCGGAAGTTCCCTTCTAGGAGGCTCCCGGGGGCGTCTCGCTCTGCCCTCTCACCGCTTCCCCGCGGGGGACACCCCGACGCCGGCCTTCAGGCGCAGAGGGCCTCGCTGGACGGCCTCGTACTCCGACATCCTCCTCCTCCGCCTCGGACTCCTTCCTTCCAGCCGCTCCGGCCGCCACTTCCGGGTGCCGACATAAACTTCCGGGGCAAATGGCGGGAGGGGGGGTGCCGCGGGAGTGAACTTCCGGGGTAAATGAGTAAGGGCCGTCGGAGAGCGCATGTACTTCCGTTGGAGAGAGGAAGCGAGAGGGACAGCCTAGAGCGGCATCCGGGCTTCCCTCGCCGTAGAGAAACTAAATACGCTTCTGCCGCGCCAGGAGTCTCTCTCCAGACGCACTGCGCACGCGTGCTCTCCGGGAAGTATAGCCAAGGCGCATGCGCATTACATTTATTACTTCCAACGCGTTTGGCCGCGCCGGGAGGCGTCCAGACGCACCGCGCATGCGTGGACTCCGCGGTGCTCGCCGGGAACTAGAGCGAGGCGCATGCGCATTACATTTATAGCTTCCTCCCGACGCGTTTTAGGCTCTCCAGACGCACCGCGCGTGCGTGGACCCCGCGATGCTCGCCGGGAAATGCAGTCCTCCGTGCCGCGCGGCGCATGCGCGTTTCCCCCTTCCTTCCTTCCTTCGGCGGGCCATGGCGTCGGGCAACGGGGACTTCGCCTCGGGGGGTCGCCTGGACCCCGGGGCCCTGATGGAGCAGGTCAAGGTGCAGATCGCCGTGGCCAACGCGCAGGAGCTGCTGCAGGTGAGCGGGGGGGGGGGAGAGAGCCTCCCGGGCAGGAGCAGGCTACCTGGGGGGAAAGGGAGGGAGGAAACCGGGGGGGGTCCCTTTCGCCCACCCCCATGAGGGGCTCTGGGACCCCAATAAGAGGGCCGAGGGGTCTCAAATCCCCCCCTCCAATAAAGGTGGGTGGGCATTGCCATTCCAATGGGTAGAGCTGGGATTTTTGTTAGGGTGGGGGCCCCAGCCAAAGCTTTTGAGCTTTAGTCTTTCTTTTTTTAGGAAATCAAAGTTGGAAAACTTTAGGGGTGGGGCAGGACCTCTAACAACCGAGTACAGTGGTGCCTCGCAAGACGAAATTAATTCGTTCCGCAAGTTTTTTCTTCTTGCGAGTTTTTCGTCTTGCGAAGCACAGTTTCCCATAGGAATGCATTGAAAATCAATCAATGCGTTCCTATGGAGACCGTCCGGGGACAGAGGGGAAGCGCCGCGCGCCTTCCCCTCTGTCCCCGGACCTGTTTAAAGCAAGGGGCGGCGGGGAGAAGATTGCTTCTCCCCGTTGCCTTCCCCTCTGTCCCCTCTTTTGAAGCAAGGGGCGGAGGGGAGAAGATCACTTCTCCCCGTTGCCACCCCTTGGTTCAAAAGGGGTCCGCGTGCGCGCCTTCCCCTCTGTCCCCGGAGATTGCGGGGCTGGCAACGGGGAGAAGCGATCTTCTCCCCGCCGCCCCTTGCTGCGCTGCGCTTCCCCGCTAGCCCCGGAGCTTGCGGGGCAAGCTTCGTTTTGTGAAGCAAGCCCATAGGGAAATGCGTCTTGCGAAGCGGCTAAGAAAACGAAAAACTCATTCGTCTAGCGAGTTTTTCATCTTCCGAGGTGTTCGTCTTGCGGGGTACCACTGTACTTCCAATGTTTTTTTTATTAAATATCTTCTTGGTTTACAAAAGTACATGGATTTTCAATGCTTTTCTGTAGTGGCATCCCCTCCACCCTGTCCTGGGATGGACTGCACAAGGGAGGGCTTAACTGCCTCTTCTTCCCACCCCCTATATTTTACTCAAGCCGGCCCCCCTGCTATAGGCAACTCTTGCTCCCCCCCCCCCCCCGAGAGAAGACCTCGCAGCCTGCGGGACCCTCCTTGACCTTCAAAGGCTGATCTAGGGGTGCGCCGGACTTCTGGGGGCGCTGTAGTAGGTGCCCCGACTATGACACCCAACAGAAGGCAAGAGGTGGGGAGGGGCAGGTTTTGGCGGTGCACAGGGCGCCCCCGAAATTTGAGACGCCAATGTCTGCCACTGTTAACCCTGTCTCTGTTCTTCCATTCAAACTTTTCCTTTTTCCCTCCTTTGCAGAGGATGACGGACAAATGTTTCCGGAAGTGCATTGGGAAGCCCGGGAGCTCCCTCGACAACTCCGAGCAGGTGAGGCTAGCCGACCATCTTCCCTTCCTTCCTTCCTTCTCTTCCTTCCTTCCCTTCCTCCCTCCTTCCCTTTTTCTTTTCTTTTCCTTCCCTCTTCCTTCCCTCCCTCCTTCTTCCCTATTTCTTCCTTCCCTCTCTTCCCTTTCTTCTTTCTCTTTTTCCTTCTTGCTTTTTCTTTTTCTTCTCCCTCCCTCCCTCCTTCTTCCCTCTCTATTTCTTCCTTCCCTCTTTTTTTCTTTTCCTTCCTTCTTTCCCTCCCCCCTTCCTCCCTTCCCTTTCCCCTATCTCTCTCTTCCCTCTTTCTTTCTTTCTTTCTTTCTTTCTTTCTTTCTTTCTTTCTTTCTTTCTTTTCTTTCTTTCTTTCTTTTCTTTCATATACCGCCTCCCTATACTCAGGGCGGTTCACAGAATAAAATCAAGATCTCAAACTGGAGAATACGTAATTAAAGTAAAACCGCCCCGCTATACTCAGGGGTCTCAGGGTGGTTCACAGAATAAAATCAAGATCTCAAACCGCAAAATTCGTAATTAAATTAAAAAGAGCAACCCAATAGCCCCCCCTTTACTGAGCTGGTGGGCTGGAGGCTTCCCCCCCCAGCCCCCAGTGATGGAGACTTCCAGCCTTCTCCTCTTTCCTGACCACCCTCTCCTTTTCCTTTCCCTTCTCAGAAATGCGTCGCGATGTGCATGGACTGCTATATGGATGCCTGGAACACCGTCTCGAGGGCCTACAACTCCCGACTGCAGAGGGAGAGAGCCAACATGTGATGGGGGGCAGTGGGGTTGCTGAGGAGCCCCACCATGGACTTGGCCGAGGGACCTATCCTGGCCACCCAGCAAGGTGGTTTAATTAGGGTGGGCAGGATTTTGGTCCGGGTGGCAGGAAATAAAATGACAAACCTGTGGCACCGCCTCTTGGCAGTCTTCGTTTTTGTGCCCTGGCAAGGTCTAGGCACTCAGCAGAATTGTAATCTCGGGAGCCCAGGGGTCATCCAATTTAAAAGTAGTTTTAAAAATCTGGACCAGGGGACTAGGTTTCCGAGCACAATTCAAAGTGTTGGTGCTGACCTTTAAAACCCTATATGGCCTCAAAGGCCCAGTAGACCTGAAGGAGCGTCTCCACCCCAGACATCTCCTGAGGGCCTTCTGGCAGTTCCCTCCCTGCGAGAAGTGAGGTTGCAGAGAACCAGGCAGAGCGCCTTCTCGGTGGTGGCGCCCTCCTGTCAGATGTCAAGGAGATAAAGAACTCTCTTTTAGAAGACATCTGAAGGCATCCGTGTTTAGGGAAGTTTTTAATGGTTTTTTTTTAATAGTCTCTTGGAAGCTGCTCAGAGTGGCTGGCGAAACCCAGCCAGATGGGCAGGGCATTAATAATAATAATAATAATAATAATAATAATAATAATAATTTTTTAAAAAGTAGATGTTGGGGAGGGTTGGGCAGAGCAATCCATCTTCCCAGGAGACCTTCCCAGACAGCAACTGGGGCCCCACTGCAGGCAACCAGAGGTTTGGCAGATGTTCCCAGTCACAAACTCAAGTAGCATCTCACACAAGCTTTGTTTTCTCTAAAAAAATAGATTTATTCATTTGTGTATCGAGGCATTGTGCAACTTCTATCACAGGAGTGTCTAGAATCATCGCCAAGAGCACACCAGGAGCAGAATTCAGATGCCTTTTTTTCCGTGTCTGTGAAAGGATTCGGTGAGCTTTGTGGCTCCCACAAAGCGACGCAAGGAAAGGGGGTGGTGGTGTTAAAATCTGCTACCAAAAATAAAACAAAATCAGTGCTTTTAAGCCGGCTGTGTGATCCAGCCTGATAGAAATGTCTTAGGGGGCTCCAACTGCACCCCTGACCATTCGTAGATTTGGGGATTCAGCAGGAAATCATTGAGAGTTATTCTGACTTTTTTTTTTCTACTAGTCTTGATACAGTTATCCAAAACACATCCCAGAGACAGAAAGAGAGAGAGAGAGAGACAGAGAGAGAGAAACCCATTAGGAAACTTCCCATGTCTTGATTTCTTGATCCGCATCTTTTCTCCCCAAAGCAACCCCCTCCCCACGCCGCAAACAGGCAACGTGTTTCCCGTCTGGCAGGCGCGACGGGAGGGGGAAACGGCGTTTCCTCCGGCGCGGGAGAGTCCGTCGTGGAAAGAAGCCCCTTCCTCAGTTCCGTTCCAGCAAATGCAGCGGGTTGCGTTGGTGGGGTCAGAGCCAGACGGGCAGAACGGAAGAAGGAGCCTCTTGCAAGCAGGCACGGCCCAGGAAGCTTGAGCAGAGGCTCGCGGTAAGGCTGCCCCCCCTTCAGAGGAGGGTGCATCGGAAAAAGCTGGTTTTCTTCTGTAGCTCGGGGGTGATCTTCACCCCCTGGCTGCTGCCTTGAGGGCTGTTGCCTTCCTGTGAATGCAAAAGGACCACGGGAGGGTTATTCAGGTGGGCTTTGGTTCCAACCTGTTCCCCCCCCCCCTTCGCTGCAAACTTTGCTTGGAGCTGCAGGTCAAACTCTGGCCTGGGGAGGGAGCAGGGCGATGGCGCCCAGCAATCGGGCTCTGTGCTCCTAGCAACTCCAAAGGCCATGAACTCAAAGCTCATTTCGCCCCCTCCCCTTCTGCCACATTATAGAACTTTTAAAAAAATATGTTTATTATGCTTCCATTTTAAACATTTAAATACATCCTCATTTTACTTTTGGGCTCTATGCTCCTAGCAGCTCCAAAGGCCGCGACCTCAAAGCTCATTTTGCCCCTTCCCCTCCTGCCGCATTGTAGAACTTTTTAAAAAATAATATTTTATTACACTTCCATTTTAAATATTTAAATACACCCTTATTCTCCATTTTACTTTTTGCTCGTATGAGCTTAGCGACTTCCCTCCCACCCAACTCATGGCTTTCGCAGTTCATTTTTTACACCAAAGCATTTATACATTTTCCTTTTCACTCATTCAACCTATCTACATTTTTTACAAAAATACAAAAAGGCATTAACCATTATCGTCACAAACCGCCTTACAACCCTGCTGGCGTTGTTAACTGTTTACGATAGTGCGTTATAAGACTCTTACCCTCTGCCACCTGTCCTCCTCAACCCAACTAGTTTCTTATACAACACTGAACAAGTTAATACTGTTTTATGTATGTGTGTGTGTGTGTGTGTGTGTGTGTGTGTGTGTATACATACATACACACACACGGTACTCAAACAACTTGGAACCCAGACACTGCAATCCCTTTTTTTGTTATTGTGGGAGTAGATCGCAGTCTCTTGAGAGTTGGACATGCCTGGTTTAGCGGTTAAGAGTGCCGTACTAGGACATGGGAGACCAGCATTGAAATCTCCCACTCGGCCTTGAAGCAGACTTGGACCAGTCAATTCCCCTCAGCCTAACCTGCACCAGACAGTTGTTGGGATTAAATGAGGGGGGGGGGGAAGCCTTGAGCTCCTTGCAGAAGGAGAGAGATAAATGCAACAAATAAATCTGCGTTCTAGCCAAGGCGACTCACCAGTTTCTTGTCCATTTTCGCCTTGATGTCTCTGGCGAGAGTGAAAAACGCCTGAAATTTAAAAGGGGGAAATAGAAAAAAATATATATAAATGTGAAAATGATTGGGCGAGGCCTCGTAGCTCGCGCTGCTCTCCTGCCGCTCACGCCAAAATGCAAAGCCAAAGACTCGACGGAGGTTAGGCGGAGGGGGCAATTAGCTCTTTGGTGGCCCTTGTGACCTGTCACAACACACCACGGATTGTTGCACAATGTCCCCCGTCATCTGCAAGAGCAGCAGCAGCGGGCCAGACCTCTGCAAATTGGAATTGTGGGCCGGGAGAGGGAGAAACGATGGGGCGCGGCAGCTGTTTTTGCAGCGGGTCCCCCGTTTTGCAGATTTGCTGCAGCGCTGAGTGGGGTTGGAAGGGCTTAAGAGATTCTGCCTGGGGGACTGGGCCCCAGACGTCCTTCCGCCCTTTGGACCGGACGAAAAGGCTTCCGGGAAAGAGGGTCAGGAAGGCAGGGCCGCCACTCACGTTCTCTATGTTGATGTTTGCCTTGGCGCTGGTTTCCATGAACTTGATGCCGAAGCTGCTGGCCAGCTGAACGAGAAAAAAAGGAGGAAAGGTCTCAGGTCAGCTACGCAGGCGGGCCCTGAACCAGCATCTGCCTTGAGAAACACAGTTCTAAAAAATTTTCCATTCCTGAATCCAACATACAGTGAGGGTGGGGAAGTATTTGATCCCCTGCTAAATTTGCTCGTTTGCCCTCTGATGAAAGAAATGACCAGTCCGTAATTTTAATGGTAGGTTTATTGTAGCTGTGAGAGACAGAATAACAAACTTGGGTCTCCAGCTTCTTTCGGACAACACTTTGGCCCAGTATACCCGAAGGAGCTTCTCCACCCCGGACACCGGGGTCCATCTCCCGAGGGCCTTCTGGCGGTTCCCTCCCTGCGAGAAGTGAGGTTGCAGGGAACCGGGCAGAGGGCCTTCTCAGTGGTGGTGCCAGCCCTGTAGAACGCCCTCCCATCAGATGTCAAGGAAACAAACAACTATGACTTTTGAAGGCAGATTCCCTGTTTAGGGAAGTTTTTTAAATGTTTGATCTTTTATTTTTTAATATTCTGTTGGGAGGTGCCCAGAGTGGCTGGGGAAACCCAGCCAGATGGGCGGGGTATAAATAATAAATAAAATAATAATAATTATTATTATTCCTGTTCTGATTCCTCAATGAAACGGCTAACTGCAAGTTAGCCGGTGCTTCCTTGTCTCTCTCTGTTCTGTCAGCTCCCTCGACATCCCCCTTGCCTCTCCCATGACACACGACCGGCTAATCTCTGGACGCCAAAAAACCGCCCTCACCTTCTCTCCTTGCTCTCGGGAGACCTGGCGCTTGTGGTTCATGTCGCACTTGTTCCCGAGGATCATTTTTTCCACATCTGGAGACGCATGCTGCGGGGGGTGGGGGAGAGAGCGAGCGCAGTGGTGAGAAAAAGAGACACGGCCTGGTCTGCACGCAGAGCATGGGGCTGAGAGGCCGACACAGTGCTTCTCCTCCGGCTCTGTTGGGAGGGAAAAGGCCTTTCAGAGGCCCCCTCCTAGCAGAAGAACTTCCCTGCCACTTCCAGGAATTTCACTGCACTTCAAACGCTTGCAAAAAACAACAATGCCATGCCGCTCATTCGGAACAAAGCAGAAGCCTTCCGTGTTAGTTGCAGAATTTGGAGACGGCAGAGCAGGGACCGTGGCAAGCGCCGCCGCAAGATGCGTTTCCCGGAGGGGTTTCCCAGCCAGCAGGAGCGAGCAGAAGGGCTGGCTCACCGTTCGTTACCTTCTAGAGGGCAACGGTCTTGTCCCACAGCTGATCCTGCAAGAAACCGCACCTCTGAGAAGCAGGCTTTACGGAGCAACAAGAGGAGCCTCCTTTGAGCGTCTGAGAAGCAGCCCGTTTCAAATGCTCCTTCCTCCCAAAACCCGAAGCCTTCCTGCTAGGAATTATGGGACATGAAGGTCTGAGGGACAGTGGACCGGCCCCCTGCTGAAAAAGTTTGCTGACCCCTGGGGTAGATGGTTCTTGGGGTCCCTCCCAGTTCTATGATCTATGATCTATCTATGATCTATGTAGGCTGTTCCTGTAGGCCCAGGCAGTATTGCCTGCACAGGAAATTCTCCAAGGGTCTCTAGGACCGAAATACCTCAAGGACCGCCTCTTTCCATATGAACCTACACGGACCCTGAGATCATCTTCTGAGGCCCTCCGTGTGCCTCCTTGAGAGGTCCAGAGGGTGGCAACATGAGAACAGGGCCTTCTCTACTGTGGCTCCCTGTCTGTGGAATGCTCTCCCCAGGGAAGTTCGCCTGGTGCCTTCATTACACACCTTTAGGTGCCAGGCAAAAACATTCCTTTTTAACCAGGCCTTTGGTTGATGTTATTGACATCTGACACCCTTTTGGAATGTGGTTCTTTTTGGGGGTGAAGTATTCTTTGGGGGGGGGCGTAGTATTATTGGGTTACTGCTTTTATTTTGATTTTATATATTGTGATCTTTTTTTGTGAACCGCCCTGAGACCTCCGGGTATAGGGCGGTATATAAATTCAATAAAATAATAATAATAAAAATAGCAGAGAGAGGCCTCTTTCTACCTCTGGCTATGACTGCCATTGTCCCCACCCAGCTTTCGTGTCCACGGATATACACCACGACATCCACAAAAGCAACTCTCCTCTCTGGCAGCTTCCGCAGCTGGTATTCAGAAACAGACAGCCTCCGACCACAGAGACAGAGCAGTGGGAGAACATACCTCTTCGATGTTTCTGACCCAGTTCCGAATGTTTTCAAACGACTTCTCGTTGGTGATGTCGTACACCAGCATAATGCCCTAAAGAGCAGAAACGGGGAGAGGGAATTAATCAAAAGAGCTGCTTTTTTCCCCAATTCTGGAGGGATTTGTGGGCTGGAGGTGGGAAAAGCCTGGTGTTCCCAACATGACACAGAAAGCAAGGGGGATTCGGCAGCGAGCCGGCTCTAGGGGGAAAGAGGAGCACAGAATGTGAAGGTATGCAGAGGGATGGGGTGAGAACGAGGGTGTGCTTAGGGTCGGAGTTTTCAGTCCTCAACCCAAAGGTGGACCTCACCACCAGCATCTTGAGAGTGGACAGCAGCTGACCCCTTCGCTGCTTTAAATAGTTTAGAACAACATTTGATTCTAAATATTTTTTTCCGTGTTTTCCTCCTCTAAAAACTAGGTGCGTCTTATGGTCAGGTGAGTCTTATGGGGTGAAAAATACGGCATATAAAAAAGAGGTCAGCAGCGACCCGAGTCAAAGGGAGATCTGCACCCACCATGGCTCCTCTGTAGTAAGCCGTCGTGATCGTCCGGAAGCGTTCCTGCCCAGCGGTGTCCCTGGAGGAAAGGCACAGGAAGAGAAATGACGACAACAGCCAGGTAGGGCCCCTGCCGCCTTGCCCTCGCAGTGGCCTTGTCAGGGATCGTCCGTAGGCTTGCCACCCATGTCAGGGGCACTGCCCATAGCTGTCAACTTACAGATTTAAAAATAAGGGACCAGCAGCCTCGAAAATAAGGAATCAGCAGCCAAAATAAGGGATTTTAAGAGCACAGGTTATGTTCGACTTCTGAGCCCCTCAGAGCCAAAGGCAGAAAGCCCAGCCAGCAGCCAAACGAAGCCTCAAGCGGTGGTTCCCACAGCGCAGCAACCCGGCAAAGGGGACGCAGCAAGGAAAACCACGTCACCTCTCCGCTGGGAAGCGCTGAGCAAAGGCGAGTCCCCAGGCAACGTGGCCGATTTGATCGGCACAAGGCATGCAAGCTCCACCCCCCAGTCGTTCTTAGACTCCTTATTGGGTGAGCAACGCAGCCAAGCAACATAGTTGGAGCCTCCCTCCTCCCTGGCCGGCAGGGAGGGAGGGAGAGGAGCTGCTTCCTTTGAAAGCTATGTTGACAGCTATGGCACTGCCCCTTCCTCTTGGGAGTCTCAGGGACTTGCCCCCCCCCAACAAACAGGAAAGGATAATTTCCTGGGCTGCCTTACCAGATCTGCAGCTTAATCTTCTTGCCATCGAGTTCTATCGTCCTGATCTTGAAATCGATTCCTGCACAGAGAAGACCGCCCGCCAGTTAACAGGTGGCACTTGACAGCTGACAATTATAACCATGAATTAATAATAAGCTCTCCGTCTCCTTTTTTGCTGCCCCCTGGAACTCCGATTATTTTCCTCCCGTCTTTCCCCACAAGGTGCTTCCACCCGGAGGAGGGGAAGCCAAGGTGGGGTTTCAGCCAGGGCCTTGCCAGCTGCCCCCCCCCCCGCACTTTGCACGCCAGCCCAGAGGTGTTTCCCGCACCGTCAGCTGCATTATTATTGTTATTATTATTAGGGGGTGTCAGCTGCCTTATTATTCTTTTGGGGGGTGTCAGCTGCAGGCTATGATTATTGTTATTATTAGGGGGTGTTAGCTGCCTTATTATTTTGGGGGGTGACAGCTGCAGGCTATGATTATAAGGGGGTGTCAGCTGCCTTATTATTCTTTTGGGAAGGTGTCAGCTGGAGGCTATGATTATTGTTATTATTTTGGGGGATGAACAGCTGCAGGCTATGATTATTAGGGGGGTGTCAGCTGCCTTATTATTCTTTTGGGGGGTGTCAGCTGCAGGCTATGATTATTGTTATTCTTTTGGGGGGTGACAGCTGCAGGCTATTATTATTAGGGGGGTGTCAGCTGCATTGTTATTCTTTTGGGAGGGTGTCAGCTGGAGGCTATGATTATTGTTATTTTGGGGGTGTCAGTTGCAGGTTATTAATATTATCTTGGGGGGGTGTCAGGTGCATTATAATTCTTCTGTGGGGCGTCAGCTGGAGCCTTCCCCCCCCGAAATAAGCCCTGGCGGGGGGGGTTCCCCTTCCGGGTCCTCCCACCAACCCCGCGAGGTCGGCCTGCCATCTCGGGGGGGGGGAGGGGGCGCTCCGCGGTTGCCATGGCGACGGAGAGGGGAGGGGGGCCGGCGCACCGATGGTGGAGATGAAGGTGGCGTTGAAGGCGTCCTCGCTGAAGCGGAAGAGCGCGCACGTCTTCCCCACCCCGGAGTCGCCGATCAGCAGCAGCTTGAAGAGGTAGTCGTAGGTCTTCGCCATGTTCCTCAGGCCGGGAAGCGGCGGCCGCGGGCGGCGATAGGCCCGCGGGGCTGCCCGTCCGCGGGGCGGGGAGGCTCCCATTGGAGGAGGCCGGCGGAACTCCCGCCTCCGGCCGAGTCCCGGCGATCCCATTGGTGCCACGTCAGCAACGTCCGTTGGAGGCGACGTCATGACGCGTGCGCTGCGAGGGAGGAAGAGCGCCGCTCTAGCCTCTACGTCACGACGCGCGCGACGAAAGAGAGAGGGACGCTCTAATACCTACGTCATGAAGTGCGCGCCGAAAGAGAGACAGAGGGCCGTTCTAGCCTCTACGTCACGACCCGCGCGCCGGAAGAGAGCGCCGCTCTAGCCCGCGCGCGTCGTTGGTGCGGCCTCTCCGGCTCCGAAGCGGCGCCTGCGAGCTCGCCGAGGCCGCTGCTGCTGCCGCCCGGGAGGGGTCGCCTGTGGGCCTCCCCCCCCCCGAGCGCCTCGCCATGTCCGCCAGCGCCGTCTACGTGCTGGACCTCAAAGGGAAGGTGAGCCTCCCTGGGCAGGAGAAGTCTACCCGCCTCCGCCTGACAGGAAAAAGCGGGGGGGGAGGGGCCGGGGAGGGGGTCCCTTCAGTGGGGGGGGGGTCCAGTGGGCCCCCCCCCCGAAGGGATGAGCAGAGGAAAAGGGAATTATAATAATAATTTGTTGTTTATACCCCGCCCATCTGGCTGGGTTTCCCCAGCCACTCTGGGCGGCTTCCAACGGAATATTAAAATACCGTAATGCATCAAACATTAAAAGCTTCCCTAAACACGGCTGCCTTCAGATGTCTTCTAAAAGTTTGGTACAGTGGTCCCTCGGGTTACATACGCTGATTATTATTATTATTATCAATTAGATTTAGTATTGTTATTGTTTAGTTGTTTCGCCGTGTCCGCCTTCTTTATGGTCCAGCTCTCACTTCCATACATCACTACTGGGAAAACTATAGCTTGAACTTCAGTGGTACCTCGGGTTACATACGCTTCAGGTTACAGATGCTTCAGGTTACAGACTCCGCTAACCCAGAAATAGTACCTCGGGTTCAGAACTTTGCTTCAGGATGAGAACAGAAATCATGTCGCGGTGCAGCAGCAGGAGGCCCCATGAGCTAAAGTGGTGCTTCAGGTTAAGAACAGATTCAGGTTAAGAACGGACCTCCGGAACGAATTAAGTACTTAACCCGAGGTACCACTGTAGTTGTTTTTCTCTTTGACATCTGGTGGGAGGGCGTTCCACAGGGTGGGTGCCACTACCAAGAAGACCCTTTGCCTGGTTCCCTGTAACTTCACTTCTTGCAGGGAGGGAACCGCCAGAAGGCCCTCAGAGCTGGAACTCAAGTGTCCGGGCTGAACTATGGGGGTGGAGACACTCCTTTAGGTATACTGGACCGAGGAATGGAGCCTCTCTAGCCAAAAGCAGCCCACCTGTCCAGGACTCGGAAGGCAGCCCTGTCACGTCTGAAAGGCTTGACGTTTGGTTACCTTTTTTATATACATAAGCCACCCAGAGTGACAGATGACAGGTGGGCGGGTTGAAATAATAAAATTAGGATGATACGGGCTCGGAAGCTGCCCCAGGGTGGCTGGGGTATAAATAATAATAAAATAATATCAGTATTATAATATCGGTAATGGCGCCCGCTCTGTGGAACGCCCTCCCACCAGATGTCAAAGAGAAAAACAACTACCAGACTTTTAGAAGACATCTGAAGGCAGCCCTGTTTAGGGAAGCTTTTAATGTTTAATAGATTATTGTATTTTAGTGTTTTATTGGAAGCCGCCCAGAGTGGCTGGGGAAACCCAGCCATATGGGCAGGAAATAAATAAATATAAATAACAAATAAATAATAATAATAATAATAATAATAATAATAATAATAAAAAATTAGAGACCAGGGAGTTAGCTGGATGGGGTCCCAATGCTAGTATGGATACTAATACTAATTATTACGGTATTTTTATTATTGACGACCAGAGAGTCATCCAGCTGGGGTACAAATACTAATACTAATTATTATTATTATTATTATTATTATTATTATTATTATTAGAGACCAGGGAGCTAGCTGCGTGGGGAGCTGATCTGCACCTCCCCTCCCAGAGGAAGGCCCTGCCTGTCACTGGGCAGGGACTGCCTTTTTTTGCAAAAAGGAGCAACGCTGCCTGCAGATTTCTGGCCCTGACTCCTTCCGAAAGCAGGAAGCCAGTGGTTTCCTTCTGGGCCCCGGACGTGGTGGTGGTGCTTCTGCAGGGGACGGTTCCTGGGTGTGACTGAACAGTGGCAACGTCATGGTTCAGACTTCCGTTTAAGTTGCTAAAGATTCTCTCCTTTTCTCTCTCTCTGCCCCAAACCACCCCACACGCTCCTGCCGATTCCAGGTCCTCATCTGCAGAAATTACCGCGGGGATGTGGACATGTCGGAAGTCGAGCATTTCATGCCGATCCTCATGGAGAAGGAAGAGGAAGGGACTCTGTCTCCCATCCTGGCCCACGGAGGCGTCCGATTTATGTGGATCAAACACAACAACTTATATTGTATCCTTTGCCAAAGCAAAGCTTGCCTTTCCAAGTTCTTCTGCTTGGAGGGCTGCTTCACGATACAAGGCAGATGGTTGCTATGAAGAAGGTGGGCCTTCTCCGTGGCGGCCCCCACCTTCCCCAAATCCCCTTTTTATAAGAATTCCAAGGTCCCAAATATAAAATACCGTATTTATCCATGTAGAACACCCCCCCTACTTGTAGTTACTTGTATATTTTGTGAGATGTGTTGTACGATATATACATCATTTTGAAGTGGCTTGTTTGTATATTTTGAATGACATCATAACCGATTATATACAGTGGTGCCTCGCAAGATGAAATTAATCCGTTCCGTGAGTCTCTTCGTCTTGCGAAGCACGGCTATTAGCGGCTTAGCGGCTTAGCGGCTATTAGCGGCTTTAAGAAAAAGGAAACAAACTCGCAAGAACTCGCAAGACATTTCGTCTTGCGAAGCAAGCCCATAGGGAAATTCGTCTTGCGGAACGACTCAAAAAACAGAAAACCCTTTCGTCTAGCGAGTTTTTCGTCTTGCGAGGCATTCGTCTTGCGGGGCACCACTGTATTCACTAACAGTTATTCACCAGCGTGTTCCATTTGCATGTTTGTAGATTGGGACGCGGGTGGCGCTGTGGGTAAAAGCCTCAGCGCCTAGGGCTTGCCGATCGAAAGGTCGGCGGTTCGAATCCCCGCGGCGGGGTGCGCTCCCGTCGTTCGGTCCCAGCGCCTGTCAACCTAGCAGTTCGAAAGCACCCCCGGGTGCAAGTAGATAAATAGGGACCGCTTACTAGCGGGAAGGTAAACGGCGTTTCCGTGTGCGGCTCTGGCTCGCCAGAGCAGCGATGTCACGCTGGCCACGTGACCCGGAAGTGTCTCCAGACAGCGCTGGCCCCCGGCCTATAGAGTGAGATGGGCGCACAACCCTAGAGTCTGTCAAGACTGGCCCGTACGGGCAGGGGTACCTTTACCTTTACCTTTTACCTTTTGCAACACAGGGGCTTGTGTTCATTTAAACCTAGCCAGTGCCAGGAAAAGGTCTGCTGTGCTTCATCCCTGGTAGATTTCACATGGTTAAATTTAGCATTATTATCCGCCTTGTGGCGATTGGTCAACAGGGAGGCAAGTTTGCAAAGCGGAGCGAATAAAATGTAAAAGAAATACAGAGAACCGTCAACTTGAAAACCTGCAAATGTGTTTGTTGATGCCCCCCCTTTTAAGTGACAAGCTCCTCAACTCAGCCCCCCTCCCAGTGGTTGCCACCTCTAAGAAGAACGCCTGCGTCTCTCTGGTGTTTTCCTTCCTCTACAAGGTCGTTCAGGTAACTGTGGCAATTACTGTGTTCCTGCAGAGTACTGGGTCAGAGATGTTGAGGCCTGAGGGTTTTCCCCCATGTGGATTTTGTCATGCCCTTGGGCGAAGGAGCCTAATACAGTGGTCCCTTCGTTCTCAAACGCCTTGGGACTCAAAAAACTTGGAACCCAAACACTGCAAACCCGGAAGTAGGTGTTCCAGTTGGGAAACTTCTTTCGGAAGCCAAACATGCTCCGTTTTGAGTGCCACACTTCCGTTTTGAGTGTTACACTGAAGTTGGTCTGTTTTTGCTATTTATTTTGCATTTTTGCGGCTCTTTTTGTTTTGTTTTTGTGACTGTGTGGAACCCAGTTCAACTACTGATTGATTGTGTGACTGCAGTACGTCATTTATTGCTTTCATTTTATGGATCAGAGGTCTTGTTAGCTAGTAGAATTCATGTTGAACGGCTGTTTTAGGGGTTGTTGTTTTTAAATGTCTGGAACGGATTGATCCGTTTTGCATGGCTTTCTATGGGAAAGCGCCCCTTGGTTTCGGAACGCTTTGGTTTTGGAATGGACTTCCACCACGGATTAAGTTTGAGAACCAAGGTATCACTGTACAGCATTGAGTCAACAGTGATGGAGAAATCTGGGGATGGTTGACGAATGCATTCCCCACCTTTCCAGCATTAGCAGTTTCAAAGGTTGTGAACAACCTTTTTTTTATTTGAGGAGACCCGCTACCTGCCACTTTAACCTTTGGTCCTGGGTGACCTCGTGCTCTTTCCTGACCGTTTCAGGTGTTTTCCGAGTATTTCAAAGAGCTGGAGGAAGAGAGCATCCGAGACAACTTTGTGATCATTTACGAACTCTTAGACGAGCTGATGGATTTCGGATACCCGCAGACCACGGACAGCAAGATTTTACAGGAGTAAGTGTCTGGTTTGAATCTCCGAGAGAAGCAGCCGGAGACTCAAAATTGGCTGCTGAAATCTTGGCAGGAGAGGAGAGAGTTGCTACCGACGGGTGGCGGGCCTTTTCTGCGGTGGCTCCCCGCTTGCAAATGTCTGAGCTCAGGAGCTGCTGCTGTGTAGACTGAGTCTAGAGACACAAGTTGGGGTTTGAGGGAGAAGAGATCGGTGGTGTGTCCCTCTGTCTGGCCTGGTTGGACTAGGCTTAAACCTCTTTGTTATTTTCCGGCCAGCTGGGGAATCATTTTAAACATGTCTCTGGGGCGGAAAGGTTCAGAGCATTGCGTTTTGACTTCCTGCCTGTGTTTTCGGAAAGGTACATCACCCAAGAAGGTCACAAGCTGGAGACGGGAGCGCCGCGCCCTCCAGCCACCGTTACCAACGCCGTGTCTTGGCGTTCGGAAGGGATCAAGTACCGGAAAAACGAGGTCTTCCTGGACGTCATTGAATCGGTTAACCTCCTGGTGAGTATGCCTTTCTGCTTATGAGCTTTCGGAGGAAGGTCCCTTACGCTTGTAGGCCGTGGACCCATTGCGCTGGGCGCGGTGTTACAAGATCCCTGCCCCCGGGAGGACGTGCACACCCCACGGCCTGCACAGAGATGACCAGAGAAGGAGAACCCACTTCCCTCAGCTCCATCGCCATATCTCCCTTCCTTCTAAGAACAGTGTTCGAAATTAGGCACCTTCACTATCGTCTGCTTGACGACCAAGAGAAGATGCCTGCGATCTGGACTGTTCTCACACGCTTAACGCCCCCTGTAGAATTCTGTCTGCTATATTTTATCTGCGCAGCCGGGGATCAATTTTGGGAACCGAAATGCTTTTCCTGCGCAGCCTGAGCTTGCAAGTTTGATAATGTCAACCGCGAGATGGTTGAAGGATGAGGAAACCCTCCAGTCCGGCGGCCCGGAAGCTGCCCACTTGACCTCCGTGTTTCGGGGTGGGGTGCGGGCTGGAGAAATTCCTCATGTCTGTTCTTGCCTCCGCACACTCACTCCGATCTGTCTATACCCCTCGGCCGTCGTCTGAGCCGTCGCCATCGGCTGGCAGGCCTCAAAAAGTGGCCTCCTGCGGCTGGTCGGTGCCTTGTCTGTCCTCGTCCAGTGACCCCCCCTCCCTCCCGCCCCAGGTGAGCGCCAACGGGAACGTTCTGCGCAGCGAGATCGTGGGCTCCATCAAAATGAGGGTCTTCCTCTCCGGGATGCCAGAGCTCCGCCTGGGCTTAAACGACAAAGTCCTCTTCGACAACACTGGCCGTGAGTATGTCTGCGGCGGCTCCCAAAACGTTTCGGGTTCTTTCCTTGCCTCTTTGAGGAACTCACCCTTCGCGGGGAGAGAGGTGGGTCTTTTCAACTGCAGTGGTACCTTAGTCATCAGTGTGGAGAAGAAAAAAATATATTTTTAATTGCTATCATCTACAATACTGTCTTCTTTATTTTATAGTACAGTACATTGATTATTGCTTTCGTTTTATGGATCAGTGCTCTCAGATAGTAAAATCCACGTTAAATGGCTATTTTAGGGGTTGTTTTTAAAAGTCTGGAATCGATTAATCCATCTTGCATGACTTTCTATGGGAAAGCAGTGCGCCTTGGTTTGGGAACGCTTTGGTTTTGGAACGGATTTCCGGAAAGCATGAAGTTTGAGAACCAAGGGGGGTGTTTGTGTGTGTGAGTAGGAAAACAGATTCTCCCTTGCATTTTCAGGGCCACTTGTCTCTCCGCAGCCTCCCTCCTTATTCCCAAATCATCGCCAGTTCTCCTTCCTGGACAGTTAAGGCACTTTTCATTTTAATCTTCTTTTTCTTCTTCTTCTTCTCCCACCAGGAGGCAAAAGCAAATCTGTGGAACTGGAGGATGTGAAGTTCCACCAGTGCGTCCGTCTCTCTCGCTTCGAAAATGACAGGACTATTTCGTTCATCCCGCCCGATGGGGAGTTTGAGCTCATGTCTTATCGCCTGAACACTCACGTGAGTCTGTGTTGATCCGAGGGCAGGAGCAAATCCCTTCCTTCTGCCTTCCCATCTCCTGAGGGCCTCATGGCGGTTCCCTCCCTGCGAGAAGCGAGGTTACAGGGAGAGGGCCTTCTCGGTGGTGGCGCCCGCCCTGTGGAACGCCCTCCCTTCAGATGTCAAGGAGATAAACAGCTACCTGACCTTTAGAAGACATCTGAAGGCAGCCCTGTTTAGGGAAGCTTTTAATGACTGATGTTTTATTGTGCTTTTAATATTCTGTTGGGAACCGCCCAGAGTGGCTGGGGAAACCCAGCCAGATGGGCAACGTATAAATAATAAAAAATTCTTCTTCTTATTATTATGCTAGACCTTCCATGCAGTCCTCTCCCAAATTATTGGCCTGGTTGCCAGCCCAGAGAGTGACCCCTCCTCTCCGCAGCCACTGTGTCCGGGGGCTTTCCTGCTTTCCACTCGGGGTACCTATCCTGACACCCCTTTTCTCTCTTCGCCCGCAGGTGAAACCCCTGATCTGGATCGAGTCGGTCATAGAAAAGCATTCCCACAGCCGCATAGAGTATATGATCAAGGTGAGCGGGACCCTCCTTCTGTTTCTTTTGGGGTGACTGGAAGTCACAAATGGAAGCTGTGTTGTAAGAATTTAATTCACCCTTTGTGAATTGTATTACTCTTTGGGTTGACAGTAGTTTTTCTTTTCGAAACTAATAAAGCAATATGGGGGGGCGGGGAGGACAGACAAAAAAACGAGACTCCCGTTTCTCCTTTGTGCTGGTCTCTTTCTTAGGCCAAGAGCCAGTTCAAGCGCAGGTCAACAGCCAACAATGTGGAGATCCACATCCCTGTCCCGAACGACGCGGATTCGCCAAAGTTCAAAACCACCGTCGGAAGCGTGAAGTGGGTGCCCGAGAACAGCGCCATCGTCTGGTCGGTCAAGTCTTTCCCGGTAAGCCTGTCTGGGTTTTTGGGGTGTAGGGCTGGATTGAGGATTGATGCGGCCCTCGGCTCCTGAAGGTAATGGGGCCCCTTATATGTCCAGCTGTGCTTTGTCAACAACAAATTGCTGCTGTTTTTTGTGTTGAATATATGCTTTATGGTCATTTATGGACCCAATAGGTATCAAGCCATTTGCACATTTTGCCCTGCAACCAGTCCATGCAGAATGTAGGCACCCTATATATAGAAAGGAGCAAACCAGGGATATCTTAGGGCATATAGCTATCAACCTTTCCCTTTTCTTGTGAGGAATCCTATTCGGAATAAGGGAGTTTCCCTTAAAAAAAGGGAAAAGTTGACAGCTATGTTTTAGGGAGCAGGCTAGCAGCCGGGGCCCTTGACTTACCTCCTAGGAGCCTACACAACACAAAACACTGTTGCTGGATGTAGGTTTTATTTTATTTGCTTTTCATCTTATATTTTGGAAATAGACATCCAATCTCTTTTTCCTTTAATTTTTTTGGGGGCCCCCAAGAGAGTGGGCCCCTAAGCTAGAGCTTGTTTAGCTTAGATGTAAATCCGGCACTGTTGGGGTGTCTGGAAAGAGGGGAACCCCTGACCCCAGAGAGAGGAGATCGAGTCGGTTTGGGGATCTGACTGTGGCCACTTTTGGAACAGCGTCTCCACCCCTCGCTCGGCCCCCATTTAGCACCTCTGAATGTTGCGGGACTTTTGTGGGCGAGTTTGTTTGGACCCTGTGTGAGAACGCGGAGGCCGAGATGGAGGGCATGTCAGAAGGCAAATGAACCGATACTAATTTTTATATATACTGTATATACAGTGGTGCCTCGGAAGTTGTACGGAATCTGTTCCGAAAGTCCGTTCGACTTCCAAAACGTTTGAGATACCAGGCGCAGCTTCCGATTAGCTGCCAATCGGAAGCTGCGGAACCTGTGTTGGACGTTCTGGTAACAGGGAATTCCGAGGGTCTTGCCGGTCTGGAAGGAAGGGAGAAGGCAGCCTTCCCAGTCTAGCCTGGCTCTCCCCATACTCTGAGGGGGCTTATAAATGGTTCCAGCAGAATTCAGGAAGGGGAGCTATCACTCCTGACTTTCTGCCTTTCCCCACAGGGAGGGAAGGAGTATTTGATGCGAGCTCACTTTGGGCTCCCCAGCGTGGAAGCAGAGGACAAAGAGGGGAAGCCACCCATCAGCGTTAAGTTCGAAATCCCGTATTTCACCACTTCCGGCATCCAGGTGATAAGCTCTTCGCTGTCGGGGGACGGGACGGTGGGGGGCTAGGGTTGTCTGCTGCGAAGGCGGGGGGCGGGCTAAACAAGGCATCGCGCCAATCCCGCAGTTTCTTCCTTTGGCCGTCATACTCACTAATTCTACAAAGTTCTGTTAATTTATGCAACCATCAGTAGGAACGTTTTTACCTGGAGTATAATGAAGGCGCCAGGCGGACTTCCCTGGGGAGAGCATCCCATAAACGGGGAGCCACTGCAGAGAAGGCCCCGCTCTCGTGTTGCCACCCTCCGCACCTCTCGAGGAGGAGGCACACGAAGGAAGGCCTCGGAAGATGATCTTGGGGTCTGGGTAGGTTCATATGGAGAGCTGAAGTGACTCGCTCTGCTTTTCTCCCTCCCCGTGCAGGTGCGCTACTTGAAGATAATTGAGAAGAGCGGCTACCAGGCCCTGCCTTGGGTCCGCTACATCACTCAGAACGGAGGTAGGTGGAGAGGCGCCTGTTCTTCCCCCTCCTTGCACCTGAGAAAGGGGTAACGGTCTGGGGCGGGGCTTGCCTTGTTGATGCTGCAAATGCATGTGTGAACAGCAGCGGGGAACAGGAGGGCCTGGGCTTGCGAAGCAGCCGGAGTAGGGGCTCAACTTACAATAATGTAATAATAATTTATTATTTCTACCCCGCCCATCTGGCTGGGTTTCAGTTTTGCCATTTTGACGTAGCCCAACGGTTTAATTTGCCATTCTTCCAATGGCAGGGACCAGTTTTCCAAATTTTTAAACAAATTAACAACAAACCAGGGACGCGGGTGGCACTATGGGTTAAACCACAGAGCCTAGGACTTGCCGATCAGAAGGTCGGTGGTTCGAATCCCCGCAATGATGGGGTGAGCTCCCGTTGCTCGGTCCCTGCTCCTGCCAACCTAGCAGTTCGAAAGCACGTCAAAGTGCAAGTAGATAAATAGGTGCCGCTCTGGCGGGAAGGTAAACGGTGTTTCCGTGTGCTGCTCAGGTTCGCCAGAAGCGGCTTAGTCCTGCTGGCCACATGACCCGGAAGCTGTACGCTGGCTCCCTCAGCCAGTAAAGCGAGATGAGCGCCGCAACCCCAGAGTTGGCCACGACTGGACCTAATGGTCAGGGGTCCCTTTACCTTTTAACAACAGCAATTCGGATTCTCCCCCCCTCCTTCGCTGCTCTCAGTAAAACACTTCCTCCTAGTTTCTAAACGTCTCCCGTCCGTTCCTGTTCCTCTGCCCTAGATTACCAACTCCGGACGCAGTGAGGGCCGTCTGAACAGCCACGACCGAGGAAACGGCGCATCTTCCAGTTCAGAAACGCGTTTGGTGCTCGGAAGGTGGTTCTTGGGTGGGGTGGGGAAGGTTTGGCCGGCTGGAAGCGGGACCCAGCCCGAGTCCCAAATCCGGCAGCCTTCGGCACCGACCTTGTGAATGTGTGTGTGTTTCTCTTGTTCAGTGTTAATCACGTTAGGAGTTAGCTGTTGCCCTGAGAGAGAGCCCGACCTCAGGAAAAACCTGGCCAGTCTTATTTCCGCGCTTCAGAAATCTGAGCACCGTTTGCGGTCTGCTTTCCGGAGCCGCTTCCGAGTATTAGCCAAGCCCTTCTTGCCAGAGAAACCCTTGCTTGACCTCTGCGGACCCCCTCAAAGCCCCCACACTTATTAGCGCAGGCCTGTTTTCGGAACGGAGACTCCGGACGACGCATCGCTTGCAGAAAACCTGCTCTCTCTCTCTCCTTCCCACGAGGGCAGGGAATTCAGAGCGGGTGGACTGAGCAAATTTACACCGATTCTGGAGCCGAGGGGGAAGAACCGATTTCTGCAGTTTTCACAAGCAGCAGCTGAGCTGGCAAATCCATGCCTGGACCACGCCGGGCTGCTCCTTGGTGGTAGAAAAGTCCCTGCATCTGGAAAATTAGCCTCATTTTCGGGCGTGGGGAAGCTTCCTCTCCATGTTTTGCCATGATGTCTGACGTTGCTTTTGAAAAGGCAGCAATCGGGTCTCCCAGCAGAAGAAAACAGGCGCGGAGTGTTCTTGCGAGTGTCCGGCTTCTAACAGTGTGTGTCGAAAATTGGATGGATGTCGATGCTTTTCTTCCTCTTCCCGCCTGCTCCTGAGCAATTTGCCTTTACTCAGTGACCAGTCGGGCTTTGCTGTTTAGGAAGCACATCTTTTTTTTCTCCATGTCATTCTCCCTTTCTTTCATTCCGCCTCCTCCCCTTCCCCGGAGCTCTGGCTCGAAAACGTCTACAGTGCCGGTAATCCGGTGTTCGAGTCTGCCTTTCCCAAGAGTAAACAAAGCCAAGTTTGGGATCTCCTCGCCTTCCTTCAGGCAGCTTTAGAGGCCCTGCCGGAGCCACAGAGAAAGAACCATTGTGGCTCTTGCTGCGGAAACGGGGGCACCCCCGTGGTTGCGTGTAAAGGTTTTCTTCGACTGACTGGCTCGGGGTGACGTTTGGGGCCGGGTTAGCGCTACCTGCTGAAGCCAGGTTGAAGACACGGGACCACCGCCGCCCCCTCCTCGCCCCCAGCCGTCGGAACCACCACCAAGCAAGCAAACCACCGTTCCTGCCGAAGAGGCCATTGTTCACTTGTTGCCGAAAAGTCTGTTTCAAATAAATTGAGCTTCTGTTGATCAGTATTTGGGCTGGAAACACTGTCTGGCTTCTGCCTCTTTGTGGGGTGTGTGTGGGAAGGGTCAGGGAGCCTGGACATATGAGGGAGGGGAGCATTTCTCTGCAAGAATCTGAAGCAGGGGGCAGCTGGCATGGACCCCTAACAGGAGGGGATTCCTTCCTCGGCTACAACACCAGTGGGGGACTCCCATTAGCAACCCAGGGGTTCAGTGGCAACCCGGAGCTGAAATCCCCATTGGCTGCAGTCGCTGGAAGCACAGCCCAAAGGAGCGAAGGAGAAACGACAGTGGGAGAGTAAACCACTTGAGCTGTATTTAAGAAAAAAATAAATAGTAATCGTCGTAACAGGGGAGATGCTCAAAATTAGAACAGCAAGCTCTGGGCCCAGGGCAGAACCCCACAGCACCCCACTTGTCCCATCTGGCTGTGGCAGCAAGAGCGCCGCCACAGGCCTTCCAGAGCGAGGTCCCACAGAGTTGCCGTCTCTGGTCCCACCTAGCCAAGGGTCCCCCATTACTTGTTTATGTTGTGCCTTCCTGCAGACCCCACCTGCCTCTAGGCTGGGCAATTGGCCTCTCGACACACATCTCGAGGGCCGACACACAGAAGGAAGAGGGAACGAGCTTGTTTTCTCCTGCCCCGGGAGGGTAGGACTCGAACCCGTGGCTTCACGTAGCAAGGAAGGAGGTGCCGACTCGACGTCGTCGGGAAGAACTTTGCGATGGTCAGAGCTGTTTGACCGTGCGATGGAATGCGGTTGACTCTCCTTCCTTGGAGGTTTTCAAGCAGAGGTTGCCATCTGTCAGCAGTGCTTTAGCTGAGATTCCTGCATTGCAAGAGGGTTGTTGTATCTTAATCTTTTATCCCCCCCCCCAATTTTTTAAAATTGGTTTTTACAATAAACAAACAAACACGAAAGGCAAACAAGCATACCGGTAAATCATAGCCTTATTGAAAATTACACTTATTAACTTTGTTAAGTGACTTCCCCGCTTCCCCTTGGTTGAATTTCATTGCATATCCTTTTAACGGTTTCCCAAGTCACAATTCTTATAAAATTTAACTTAAACATTAACATCCTTAAATCTTCACTTTCTGGAATTAAACCTATTAATTCATCACTTAACATCAATAAAATCCTAAGCCAATTAGGTATCTGCAAGCTGTTTTCAGTTAGTTTAACTTAACATATTTAACTAAATAATCATTAAGTTTAGTCTACTCTTCCTGATACTCCTCCTCCTCCTTCTGGTCACGGACTCTTCCGGTTAGGTTGGCTAGCTCCGAAAAATCCATCATCTTCATCTGCCATTCTTCTATTGTTGGTAATTCTTGGGTTTTCCACTTTTTAGCTAACAAAATACGAGCAGCAGTTGTGGCATACAAAAATAATTTAACGTCTGTCTTGGGCAATTCCAAACCTGTTATTCCAAGAAAGGCCTCTGGTTTCTTAATCTTTTACATTGTATTTTAATCAACTTGTTTTTATTATTGGTTGTTAGCCGCCCTGAGCCCGGTCTTGGCTGGGGAGGGCGGGGTATAAATAAAAAAATATTATTATTATTGTTATTGTTATGGTCATGGACTCTTCCAGTCAGGTCAGCTAGCTCCGAAAACTCCATCATCTTCATCTGCCAATCTTTCTTGTGTTTTCCAATTCTTCGCTAACAAAACTCTTGCTGCAGTTGCGGCTCCTCTATACTTTCGTAGCTCTGTCCTCCGGAAGTCCGCGCCCCCTGGCCAGCGGCCACTCTAGCCGCGCGCATCTCTATGGCGACGCTGCTGTCCTCTGACGTCAGACCGGAAGCGGAAGTGCCGGGAAGGAGTCTCGCTGGCGGGCCGCTCCGAGTCTTTTCCTCACTGAGGTAAAAAGGATTTTCGTTTTTTTTGACGCGCCTTTTCGAGCCCCGGGAATATTTCACGGCCTCCGCCGCCTCTCCCATCGGCGCGGCTTCGGCGGAAGCCGTGCGCGCGCCGCTCTATCCCATCTCCACGATTATCTAATGCTTTCCCTTCCCCCCTCCCGTCCTTCAAGCGGCGGGCCCCGCCCCTTCACCGCGTCGCGATCTCGCGAGATCTTGTCGGGGCGGGAGGACGGCTCCCCCCCCTTTCTGCGCAGGCGCGAGACTCCCTCTCCCCATCCCTTCCCGCGGCCGTTACTTTGAAAGTGGGCGTGGCCCGATTTCTAGCGCCATGGCAACAGCGAAGGGGGCGGGGATGGAATTCGAATAGGGAGGCCTGGTGGATTTTGTAATAGGCGGGGTGGGCGTGACGTGCGTCGTGACGTCACGGCGATGACGTCACTGCACGGCCTAGTTAGTTGCGTGTTCAGTGCAGGTTGCATCCATTATTATTATTATTATTAGTAGTAGTAGTAGTAGTAGTAGTAGTAGTAGTAGTAGTAGTATATTGCCCTATACCTGTAGATCTCAGGGAGCTCCACAACATAAAATTAAAATATAAAAAGGACAAAATATGTAATAAAAATAAAAATGGAATTCTAATAATAATAAAATACATTTTATTTATATCCTGCCCTCCCCTGCCGAAGCCGAACAGGGAGGCCTGGTTGATTTTGAAGTAGGCAGGAGAGGGAGACGGGTGTCGTGATGTCATGGCTATGACGTCATTTTGCACGGCCTAGTTATCTGTGTTTTTGGAGCCTCAGCTTCAGGATCTGTCCTTCCAGGGCGGATTTCCTTCCGAATGGAGAGGTTTGATCTTCTTGCAGTCCATGGGACTCTCCAGAGTCTCCTCCAGCACCAGAATTCAAAAGCATCCATTCTTCGGCAACCAGCCTTCTTGATGGTCCAGCTCTCACTTCCATACATCACTACAGTGGTATAGATAGATACAGTGGTACCTTGGGTTAAGTACTTAATTCATTCCGGAGGTCCGTTCTTAACCTGAAACTGTTCTTAGCCTGAAGCAGCACTTTAGCTAATGGGGCCTCCTGCTGCCACCGCCACGCGATTTCTGTTCTCATCCTGAAGCAAAGTTCTTAACCCGAGGTACTATTTCTGGGTTAGCAGAGTGTGTAACCTGAAGCCTGTGGAACCCGAGGTACCGCTGTACTGGGAATTGGGTGCATTAATTTCCGTGGTTGTACTCTGAGTACGGCCTATTTTGTACACAGCCTTCCCAAAGCAGACCTGATTCCTGGGTCCTAGATATATGTGTTTTCAGGCCTGACAGCACTTAAGCTTCTCCCACCGTCAGAGAAAATTTAAAATGCAGATGAGATGTAATCATAGAAATCATACTCCAGTAAATCATACAATAATACTCCAACCCCAACCCCCTATTCGGTGTTGCCCTTTTGGAGGGGGCAGCCAAATTATCTCTGTGGTAAGGTGATTTAATTGAAAAACTGATTTAGCTGGGAAAAGGTCTTTAGCTTATTAATCTCCTTTAAAAACTGGTTGAGGTTGCATGGCTGACGACGGCAATAAAATCATTTAGAGTTTGGTTACAGGGAAATAAAGAATATAAAGAAATGGCTGTTTAGGAGCAGTAGATCTCACCCCCACCTGTGTATTATCACTGATACAAATAAGAATATATATATTATTATTATTATTAATTAATACAAATAAACATGGAATTGAATTTACTTTGTGTTCCCTCCTGAGTTTTGCAGCCATCTTGCATTTCCAATGCTAAAATTTACCGAACATAAATTATTTTAAAAGAGCTGTTACTTTTATCATGTTGACGGCGATGTTATCTTGCATTACAACTGTATTAATGTCATGTTATGTTTTCTGCACTTATTTTATTGCTTACGTTTTGGTGGTTGTTGCTTTTTAGCAATTTTGCGTGCACAAAATAAAATTTTTTTTGGGAAACAACCACTATGGTTTTAACCAGGGACGGCTTTCAGCTTAACAAATGAAGGCTGCCGTTCTGACCATGTCTGCTCAGAAGTCCCATTGAATTCAATGGGCTTTCCTTCCAAGTAAGTGGGAAAACAAGCTTTCTTCCTCCTCCCCTTCAGATATTGGAAGATGGCTCTCATATCTCCTTTCAGTCTCCTCTTTTCCAGGCTAAACATCCCCAGCTCCTTCAACCGTTCCTCATCAGGCTCGGTTTCCAGACCCTTGACCCTCTCGGTCTCCCTCCTCTGCCCACCTTCCAGCTTGTCAACATCCTTCTTAAATTGTGTTACCCAGAATTGGATACAGGATTCCAGGTGGGGTCTGACCAAGGCACAATAGAGAGGCACTAGGACTTCCCCTGATCTGGACACTAGACTTCTGTGGGTGCAGCCTGGAATAGCATTCATTTTTTTCGCTGCTGCATCACACGGTGGGCTCACGTTCAGCTTGCGGTCCGCCGAGACCCCCAGATCCTTTTTATGGGTACCACAGTCTAGCTAGGTGTCCCCCATCCTATATTTGATCATCTGGTTCTTCCAGCCTAAGTGCAGAACCTGATCCTTGTCCCTGCGGAAATTCATTTTGTTAGCTTGCACCCAGTTCTCTTAAGGTAATTTTGAATCCCGATTCTGTCTTCTGTGGCATTGGCTACCCCTCCCAAATGAATGACTTTTATTATTTCGGTCACAGACCAGTTCCCGCCCACATACAATATCAAGGAAGTCATAGAGCGTGATAGGGAAACTTTTGAATTTGCAATTAGGTATAACAGGGACGATACAGATACAGCAACAGTTAAAAATATATAAATTAAAACTTAGTCACTAACATATAACCTAAAACTATCATTTAAAACCTTAATCATTATGATAGCACAGCTTGTTCCCTCAGTTTTATGGCAATCACACAGAATTTGGCTACTCTTAACGTGATCTCAGGATCCTTGTCCTCTACCAGGGATTTTAGACACTGGCTACCTCTCCCAGTTCGATGTCGCCTGCAAATTTATAAAGACGATGAACAACAACGGGCCCAGGACAGAACCCTATGGACCCCACTGGTCACTTTTTCCAAGGATGCTGAGGAACGAGTAATGAACACACTTAGGGTTTGGTCAGTCAGCATCCCAGAACTGGACACAGTATCCCAGGTGTGGTCTGACCAAAGCAGAATAAATAGGGACTAGGACTATTTATAGTCAGAATATATTTATAGGCAGAATAAATAGGGACACGGGTGGCGCTGTGGGTTAAACTCTGTGGTTTAAGGCTCTGTGGCCTAGGGCTTGCCGACTGGAAGGTCGGCGGTTCGAATCCCCACAATGACGGGGTGAGCTCCCGTTGCTCGGTCCCTGCTCCTGCCAACCTCGCAGTTCGAAAGCACGTCAAAGTGCAAGTAGATAAATAGGTACCGCTCCGGCGGGAAGGTAAACGGCGTTTCCGTGCGCTGCTCTGGTTTGCCAGAAGAGGCTTAGTCCTGCTGGCCACATGACCCGGAAGCTGAACGTCAGCTCCCTCGGCCAATAAAGCGAGATGAGCGCCGCAACCCCAGAGTCGGCCACAACTGGATCTAATGGTCAGGGGTCCCTTTACCTTTAGGACTTCCCTGGACACTAGACTTCTGAGGTGCCAGCCTAGAATAGCGTTAGCTCTGAACAAACTACAGTTCCCAGAGAGGAAGCCATGATTGTTTTAAACAGAATGGTCCTGCTCCGAATGTATAGTGCAGGCATAGGTAAACTCGGCCCTCCAGATGTTTTTTTGAGACTACAATTCCCATCATCCCTGACCACCGGTCCTGTTAGCTAGGGATGATGGGAGTTGTAGTCCCAAAACATCTGAAGGGCCGAGTTTGCCTATGCCTCGTATAGTGCCTATGAGGCCTGAAAGCTTACATTTGAGTGGGCATGGCGAGGATTGTACTATGAACGTAATCAATTTCCTTAAAAGATTTCAAACCAGCACTGGTAGATTTAGAGCCTTAAAGCATCTGAATAATTATCTCGCAAATCCTTGTTGTCCAAATGTTATTTATCAAAGCTGTTTCACCACACCTGTGTTCCTGCGATAGAGATCTTTTTAAGGAAATGGAGGGGGAAATGTTTTAATCGGCCTTTTCTAACCACGACAGGTGGCTTTCTTTCCCTTCCAATATCTCAATTACGCCTCAGATCGTTTGAGCAGGGTTCTAGGGCGCATGACTCAATTAATTAATTTTAACTAGATTTTCTAAAAAAGAAGTCACTTTTTAGGTTATTTGCCCTTACAAGGATTAAAAAAAACAACCCAATACCACCAACAATTAATGGCTTACAAAATTGTATAGTTTCATCTATGATGGTAGGAAAATAATAATACCAGCCTGTGCATAATACGATGAAATGAACAATTTAATAAATGCAAGACAACTTTAAAAAAGGGCCGGTTTCCTATAAGGGTTTGAGCTTTCTCATGACACCCATAATCTCTTGGGCATCTAAATACAGTCTTTTTATACAGTCTATAGACCTGCAGGTTTAGGGCGTTATACAAATTTAAATAATAATCATTATATTATTATGTTTTACTGAAAACCATTTTTCTTTTTTTGCAGAGGGGAAGGGTTGCGTGTGCGTTTGCATGCGGGCAGAGCAGCCATTCCACATTATTTATTCTGTAAAAAAACGTGGGCTCCGGATGATCACCGTTAGGCCCGCGTAATCGTGCTTTATTATTATTTTTAACGCATTTAAATGCTTGCGTGTTGACGCTCCGTCGGGGAAAAAGGGGTTGGTGGGGAGTGTTTGAAAAAAAACGAAAAAAAACACCCGGGTTTCGCGCCCGCTGAAAACGTAACGTGTGAATGCGCGTCGGAAGATTCGGAGCGCGTGACTGGCGGGGGAAAAAAAAAGAAAAGCGCGCGGCCACGCCCAAAAAAAAGGTGGGGGGAGGAGGAGGAGGACGGCAGCCCTCCGCGCATGCGCCGGCGCCAAGGCGAGCCGCCGCTCGGCGAGCGTCCGTTTTTTTCCTCCCCCCTCACTCACAGCGCGCCTTTAACCGGCGCGGCGGCTGTCCAATGGGCGCTCCGGGCGCGCGCGCCGCGGCCAATGAGCGTCGTCGTCGGGCGGGCGGCGAGGTGGGCGTGGCCGGCGCCGGAGCCCGCCTCCCTCCCTCTGCTGCTGCTTCTGCCGACTGAGGGAGCGGAGCGGCTCGTCGCGCGGCCGGAGGGACCCTCAGCTTCGTCGGCCCGACGCCTCGCCTCGCCGCCGCAGCCCGCCTTCCCCGCTTCGTCGGAGCGGCAGCGACGTCGTCAGGTGAGGCCTCCGCCGCCGCCGCTGAGGGAAGAGGCGGTTGGTCGGAGGAGGAGGAGGAGGCCGCGGCGGCGGCGACAGTGAGAGCGGGCCAGGCTCGCCTTGCGGCCTGCGCGGCCGGTGACGCAGGAGGGGGCGGGGCCTGCGCCGAGGGGGCGGGGCACGCGGCGAACGGGGGCAGCTCCCCCCCTCTTTCTCTCCCACCCCCCCTTCCAAAAAAGAGAGAGAAAGGAAAGCACGCACGAGGGAGGGGAGGGGAGCGCGGAGTCTTTTGTTAGGGCGGGGAAGGGAGGCAGGGCGGCCAGCCAGGCTGATCGCAGCGGTGGATGAGCATATTATTTTTATTATTAGTATTATCATCATCATATTATGATCACAGCGGTGGATGATATTATTATTATTATTATTATTATTATGCTGATCGCAGCGGTGGATGATATTATTATTATCTTATTATTATTATTATTATTATTATTATCATCATCATCATCATCATATTATGATCACAGTGGTGGATGATCTTATTATTATTATTATTATCATCACCATCAGCATATTATGATTGCAACGGTGGATGATCATATTATTATTATTATTATTATCATCATCTTATTATCATCATCATATTATGATCACAGTAGTGGATGATCTTATTATTATTATCATCATCATCATCGTATTATTATTATTATTGATTGATTGCTATTGTTGTCTTTAGGCTTCTGCCTTTTTGCAAGGAGGACCAGCCTCACTGTTTTTACAAATGAGGGGTGGGGGGTGGGGTGCAGGAAAACCGGACTCGCGGTTGCAATCGGAATCCAATCCTTCACGTTAAAACCCCTCCCCCACCACCAATTGCAAATCCAGGTTTACTATCAAAATTTGCACGGAAGAAAGCAAAGTTGCGTTTCCGGCTGAATTTGGGTGTGTGTGCAGGGAGTCACGGTTGGGATTGAAATCATTCACACACACACACCCCACACACCAATCAGGTTTATTATCAAAATTTGCAGCGAGCAAAATTAAAGTTGAGTTTTCAGCTGGATTTGGGGGGGGGGTTGGGGGTGGAACCCGCTTGAAGCGTCCGTTGTGTTGGAGATGTTTCAATGGCTATCGTTTGATTTGCTCCTTTCAAACAGCTGGAAGTCTGTAAATTTTGATAATAATTTTGCGGGGGGGGGTGTTAGATGATTTTGATGGCAGCTTGTTCCCTCGCAGGGAAGGAATTTGAGCACGGTGCAAGCCAATTGCAATAGCAGCAGTGGGGTTTCGTCCCAGGTGCTTGGAGCAGACCTATTGGAATAATGCAGCTGAGGAAGTTTAAGGTCCTTTAGTTTTAATTAAGGGTCTACCCTGAGTAAGAATATCATTTGGCACAACCCAAAGGCTTGGTCTTTATGAGGCCTTGCTGTGTACACATGCACAGGTGAGCATTGCAGGTGCGCGCACACACATTATTGACAGACAACAGCTTTGCAAGGTTCAGCTCAGACACTCAGGTCCAGGTCCAGGGTCCTTCTGGCGGTTCCCTCACTGAAAAGCGAAGTTACAGGGAACCAGGCAGAGGGCCTTCTCGGTGGTGGCACCCGCTCTGTGGAACGTCATCCCATCAGATGTCAAGGCAATAAGCAATTATCTTTTAAAAGACATCTGAAGGCAGCCCTGTTTAGGGATGTTTTTAACGTTTAATGCTGTATTGTGTTTTTAATATTCGGTTGGAAGCCGCCCAGAGTGGCTGGGGAAACCCAGCCACATGGGTGGGGTATAGATAATAAACTATTACTTGTACTGTATTAAATCTAAGAAACCATTCCTTAAGATGAGGAAAATAAAGGAGAAATTGTAAGCTTGTTCAACGAGCATCTCAGTAATCCTTACAGGGCCCTATGAGGTAGGTCAGTATTCGTATTGCTAGCTAAGCTAAAAATGTGCTGAATTCTAAGCCACCCAACAAAAAAACAATAATATGTAGCATTTATGTTGGGTTTTGGAGCGCTCAGAAGTGCTTCCTAGTGATCCCTCAGTTTTAAATGCCTGTATTTTATGTTGTTTTACTATGCAAGCCAGTTTGGGAGTCCTGTAAGTTGGGCTACGCCAAGACAGGATAGTTAATATAGTGCCCTCTAGGTTTTGTTGGTCTACAACTCGCAGGTGCTCCGGCAGCCAGCAGGATCAGTGGTCAGGGTTCATGGCAGTTTGAGTCAAAGCAACATCGAGGGGTCACTGCAATTGCTTCTCCTGGGCTGAGAGAGAGTAACTGATTTGCTGCTTCCTCTTTGGGATGTATGAATATAGTTGAAGGAAACACGATGGAACTGACAAATACAGTTAAAGTTGAGGAAGGGCACAACAGGATTAATATATTTATTGAAATAATCGGTCTGTTTAGTGTATACAGGAATTTAAATTGCCCTAAAATACATTGGTATGTTCATTTTGAGATGAGGGGAAGAAGCAGGAATACCAAAGCAGCAGATTCAGAATTAGTGAGCGGCAGAAATTCAAGTTTCTAATGTGGAGTGGTTTCCTTCACTGAAAGGCTTCTTCTGTTTAGTCAAGCATTTTGTCCATCCTCGGCTCCAGTGAGTTCCACTTCCTCTTTCTCACCCTTGAGCATGAAACGAGCTTTTGTGCACTGGGAGATTTATGTGAATTAGCCCTGGTTCCGCAGCGTGCGTGTGCATTTGTGCTGAATGGAGAAGGAAATGACGACTCCAAAAGTGATGCCTCAGATTGACAGGTTCACCTGGAAATCATTACTGCCAGGAAGTTCTTGTTTTAAATCTCAGTTTGTTTGCTCTTATCGGGTACGCAGGGCTTGAACAAGCTGAGACGGCCTGACCTCTTTTCTTCCTTGTTTCCTTGCTATTAGACAAGGACTGTCAAGACTGGTTCCTTTGGAGCTTGTGCTGGGGGGGGGGTCTAATTTAAGCGCTTTGCCAAGAGAAACAACCAAAACGGAGAAGGTCCCTAAGAGTATGAGAAACAACAGACCAAAGCATGGGAAACAAACAAACAAAAACCCTAGTGAGAGGCAAAATAACAGGAGATCTCATTGTTATAAATTGATGGGTTTGGAGAAATGTTTGTTCCACAACAGTGGCTACTGCTTATATATGTTCATTGTCCTTTTTTATATCACATTATTTGGGGTTTGGGGGCTTCTGTGATTTTGCCCAAAGGAGCTACATAGAGATGTGATGGTCCTGCATCAGACTGTGAAGTTGGCTCAGGAGTATTGTAGGCAGAACTAAGATTCTCTCCTCCAAACCTTCTCTGCTGTGGGAGACGCATTCTAGCCCACCCGACTCATCTGGGAACTTGGGGTGCTGCTGACCAGCTAAAAAGAAAAGCGGCGGAGAGGCATGCTCTGGCTACTCTCTGCTCCCCACTTTTCTGCTTAACGGCCTTGTCCCACCCCAAGGCAAGTGTAGGATTGGAACCTTTGCTTTAAGAGAGACTTCCAGGGCAAAAACGGCTGGGGGTTGGCATCCTGGGTACCACTTTTCTGTGGAAATTGCCTGCCTCACACATGGTGGAGCATTCCCCCCCCCCCCCACAATTGCTCTCCTTGAGCTGGAAGTGAGATTGAGCTGGTAGGAAGCATTTAGGCAGAACTGCTGCCTCAGTGCAGGACAGCTCTGTGAGAGCTCCCAGGCCTGGTAACTCAAAGAAGGGAGAAGGTAATGTGAAACCCAGCATAGAGCTGGTGCAGGTGCCATGGTTAATCGTGGTGGGCAGAAGACTGGGGAACTAAACACTCCCTCTGACCCTCCTCCCAGGCAAATTGCACCCCCCCACACACTTCTGCGACTTCCCCTTCATTTGGTGCTATGGCTACTACCAGCTTTGGTGAAGAAAACTCCTAAATCCTTGCACATTTGCATACAGAAACCACCATGTTGTTGTTGCTGCTGCTGCTGCCATTTGCGGCATCCGTCTGTCTTGAGAGACAATGGAGTGCACCTCAGGGGTTGAAGTCAACCCACAGCGTTAGCAGCACTGAAGGGGACTCCCCACCCCTCGGCGTAAGCCTGGGCAGCGTGTGTGGAGGTCCTGGACTGCCCAGATCACAAGACCCCCCTTCTGGCCTCTGCTTTCCGAAGGAAAGCAGAGCAATGTGTTTGGCAGTAGCTTGGCTGCAGGAGTTGCCAGGAGGCGGCACGCAAGCAGATATCCAACCTTTTTAGAGTCTCTACTCTTGTGTAGCGTTTACTCCTTAGCCTTTTCTTCCAATAATATCCTGCAAGGCTGCGGGTGGTTAGGATCAAAAGTTTTCTTCTCCTAGATGGGCAAGCTGTCTAGGTTGACGAGCCCAAGAAACCACCTTCTTCTTTTTAATATTTTAATGTCTCTCATCCAGGGTCCTCCATCAACCCTCTAACACCCCCATGAATATTTCTGGACCCTAATCAAGGCCAATGCTGTTCTCTTCCGCCGCTGCTTCTGCCGCCTGGCAGGCCTGTTGGCAGCCTGGCAGCCCCAGATTATTTGTATTCACTGTGACTCATCGCCATACTTTGCATTGTCCTGAAGGCCACCATTCGGCAGCCAAGCCCCCAACCGAAAGTCCTGCTCGGATGCAGCTTGGCTCGCCTGCTGAGGAAGACTGTGTGGTGATCGATGGTATCATCATTTATCCATTTTAGACCCCCTTAGTGGTAGCAGCGGCCCTAGTGGCTTGTGGAAAGGTTGCAGCGCAGTCAGATGCGCAGTACACAGGTCTGTGCTCAGCTCTGTACTTTCCTTGATGTGATGATTGAGGGCGGTACGCGAGTCAGCCGCCTCGATGGAGATGTTAGGGCCAACATGGTGCCCAGAAATCTCCGCTTTGTTGCAATTGGACCCGCGTCAGTAGCATAACGTGCCCAGCCCCTGGGGAATTTCAAACACTGGGTCAGTCGCATGCTACTCCTCCTCCTGGTTGTCTTTTCTTTCTTTTTAACCACATGAACCTTCAGAGCTGAACAGTTTGTATTTTTTTCTCCCTTTTGGCAGATTTCTTTTCTAATTAAAATGTCTAATGGTTATGAAGATCACATGGCTGAAGACTGCAGGGACGATATCGGGAGGACAAACTTAATTGTGAACTACCTTCCTCAGAACATGACCCAGGATGAATTACGGAGCCTGTTCTGCAGCATTGGGGAAGTTGAATCCGCCAAGCTTATTCGAGACAAAGTGGCAGGTAAAAATAACATGTAGCCTGTCCTGAAATACAGGCGTCCCTCTGCCCACCAGTTACTCGTATCACACTTGCGCTCGACCACATTTATGCGGGTCGCCGTGAAATAAACAAACAGATTGGACTTCCCTTCTCGGGGCTGTAAGTGAGAGAAGGGGCCACGGCACATTTGAAGCCTTGAAATTGCTGGAGGGGAGGAGACTGCAGGGGGCCCCTCCTGGCGCCTCGGCTTGGCACAAACGCTCCTGCCCGTCCATGGCAGCACTGGAGGTGGGCAGAGGAGGTACTTTAGTGGCAGCTGCTCTTGGTTGCTCTCCTCGCCCTTTTGCCCTGCTTGCAACCGGATGCCATGGCCTGGGTGGCTCAGCAGCCTCGGGGTGGAGCCTTTGTTCACTCAGAGCGGCCCAATATCCCGCTTGAGAATGAGGTGCCCGCTCTGCCTCTCCTGGACCTGGTTTGGGCAGAGGAGAGGGGACGAGAAGGTCAACCTGCCTAGCCCAGCCTCATCCCCCGATGATCGACTGGTCCACCTCACTCCCTGCTACTGCCTCTCTGCAAGCTGGGGGAGAGTTGCCAGCTTCCAAGCCTCCCTACTCCAAAGGCTGTGCACACTGTCTCTCCCCTTCCTTCCTTCCTTCCTGCATGCCCTCCCTGTTAAAGTGGGGTGCTCCCTACTGTATGCGATTTCACTTGTGTACGCTGGGGCCTGGAACGTAATCCCCATGTAAGCTGGGGGGGGGGGGACACCTGTATAACACACAACGGAGGTGGACAGACAGACATTCTGTACACCTGCTTGTCGAGCTGTTACTGCCGTCGCTATTTGCATTCATTTGTTGCTTTGTACAAATGTGTGTGTCGGGGAAGCCAAAAGGCGGTTGCAACGCTGGTGACTAAGGTCGGAGGAAGCCTGTCTAGGATCCAGGGAACCGCGCAGTTAGTTCTGCGTGCCTACAGACAGCTCTCCAAGCCACATGGTGAACTTTGGGGGTCCTGGTCCTTATTTTCTGAAACTCCTATAGCACAGTTTTTTACGTGGCTTTTTTGCAATTCATATGCAAAATAAACCAGGTCCCTAATTAGTACAGATAAGGAGTGTGTCGTGTTGAAGCAAAGTGGTTGTCCTCTGCCACCTCCCCACTTACTTTCAAGAACGCTATGTTTAATTAATTAACCTTCGTCCCTGTAGGTCACAGCTTGGGTTACGGCTTTGTGAACTACGTCACAGCGAAAGATGCCGAAAGAGCCATAAACACACTGAATGGCTTGCGACTCCAGTCCAAAACTATCAAGGTAAAAGTGACTCTCTCTACTGTGTCTAGCAGGAGTCAGTCTGCAGCTAGAATTTTTGCTCATTTTTGACTGTCCAACCCTTTCCTCTTCCCCCCCCTCCCTCCGCCCCCTACAATGGTCATGAGTGTATTTTTAAAATGTTTTATGTTACATTATTGTTTCATTAGCCTTGATCTCATTGGACAGGGAGGCAGTGTATACATGTTCAATAAAAATGTGCAAACCTGAATTCTAGCAGAGCAGATTTATTAGTCAGCTGCAGGAGAAATAGCCAATAATTGTGTGACATTTAAAAGTGGATACATTTATTAAACCTACTTAATCATACACGATGTGAACAATGAAGAGAGAGAGAGTGTGTACTTTATATCATGTTTTACATATTGTATTTTAATATATTCAGTAGTGTGCAAGACATTTTGGTTGATTAATTTCATGTTTTAAGTTGGTTGGTTAAAACTCTGCAAGTTTGCTTATGAGAAACAGCAGTTCTAGAGGGGAAAGCTTAGTTCAGGACCGTAATGCCTCAAGGACTACCTCCCTCCATATGAACCTACCCGGACCCTGAGATCATCTTCTGGGGCACTTCTTTGCATGCCTCTTCCTCACAAGAGCAGGGCCTTCTCTGCAGTGGCTCCCTGTCGTTGGAATGCTTTCCCCGGGGAGGTTTGCCTGGCGCCTTCATTATACACCTTTAGACGCCAGGCAAAAACGTTCCTCTTTAAGCAGGTCTTTGGTTGATTTGATTGACAACCTATGCCCTCTTAAAATGCATTATTGGGTGGTTGTTGTTTTTATTTTGATTATGTAGTTGGTGGTTTCACATTCTGCTTTTATCTTGTGAACTGCCCTGAGACTTGCAGGTATAGGGTGGTATATAAATTCAGTTAACAACAACAACAATAGTAATTCACATGCATGTGTCGCAGCAGGTATAATCTTGGAAGAGGCATTTCCCTTCTTGTGAGGAAAAGCCTCTTTTAAGATGGCACTGCCATGCATTAATTTTATAAGCAGTGACTAAATGGTGGGGGAACATTTGATTCATTTTAAAGTGCTGATATACGAATCTAACCAATTAGTGGCCTCAACCCTGCAGCCCTAAATGTGATATCTATGTGTGCGCCTGTCGCCTTTGTGGAAGGGGAGATGCTAAGGCAGCACGGCGGCCGGGCTTGGCTCTCTACCAGCTGCATGGCTCACAAGACAAAAGGGACAAGCCACGGGTCAGGGAAGAAGCGAGGCGGGGGGGGGGGGAATAAGTGAGGGGGTGGCCTGACCTGCCTCCCAATCTGAGCAACACATCTGTCGCTGCTTTGAGAGTCGAATCGCGTGACTGCGTGCTGGCGGCCGCGCACCCATGAATGAGCTGCTTGTATCCTTCCAAGCGTCGCTCTCTCTCTCTCTTGGCTTACCAAAGCCTCGCTGGGAGGAGGTTGTCAGATGAGAAAGCTAACCCTGACTTTTAATTGCTGCATTGTAGTCTTGCCTCTGAATAGTAGTGTGTTCCAAGAGCTGCATAGGAAGCAAATTGTGTACAGGGCCAAAGGGGCACACCCAGGAAGGTTCTTAAAGGCTTGCCCAGGGGTCATGTTTTGTGAATAGCTCTGTGCCATTATTTATGCTCTCTTAAAAACAACAGCCCTGCAGGCATTCAGTCTGTTGCTTCGCCAAGTATTGTGTGGAGGAGTAATTCCGTGGGTGTGCGATCCCTTAGAGGAAACTTCCAGACAGTTGCATCCTTTCCTTCGTTATATCCTGCACCTCAGTTGGTTACAGTAAGAGGGCACGCAAGATAGGAGCAGCCACTGCAGTACAACTCAGATTTACACAATTGCGGTTACCTTTGTGGTAGAGTTTAGAAGCCCTGAGCATACCATCCGTACAGAAATGGCACCTGCTGCTTTTCTTCCTGCCCCAAATTTGAACGCACAAGTTTGAACAGCTTGCTGGAATGATTCTGCTCACCCAATCTCTGCGCTTACCGGGAGGTAGAAGGGTGATGTTGCTGCAGCTGCAGACCCACCAGAGTGGTTCTGCCCATGTGTTTGTTGCGTTGAACCACCTCCGCCGCCCCACCTTGCCCCTCCCAATAAGCAGCAGTAACACGTCCAGCTGGCGGTCAAGTGAGGGGGAAATGGCCTCAGCATACTGCCTGCCACTGTTGTTGGAAGTGACCTCCTTTTCCAAGTCCTCGTTGCGGGACAGATGGCTACCCCAAAAAGGGGTAGAAGTTGGGCCAAAGTGCAGAGATGATCTCGTTAGCAACTGCAAAAGAAGGAAGCCGAATTGACGCTAGAACTTCTGGAGGGACGCTTCATGAGTTCGCATGCCCAACCAGTGGTTTTCCTTTTCCTTTTAGGTTTCATATGCCCGCCCAAGCTCTGAGGTTATCAAAGACGCAAACCTGTACATTAGCGGACTGCCGCGGACAATGACACAGAAAGATGTTGAGGACATGTTTTCACGGTTTGGACGCATTATCAACTCGCGCGTGCTGGTTGACCAGACTACAGGTGTGAAAGGCGGCGATGGTTTTGTTTTAGAAGCTCTGGCATTTTGACTGGCTCCTTTTGCGCAAGAGTGGCTATCACATGTGTCACTTGGAAACACTCCCCCCCTTTTTTGCCCCCCCCCCCATTACCTTAGGTAGCAGGGCAGTGTGGCTACAGTTTGTGGAGGTGGCCAGCACCCCAGCTCCCCTTAATAATTCATTATGCTTGTGAGCACTTTCCCCTAGTGATGACTCTCATGAAATGCCACCTCCATGATTGGAACAGATTTGCTGTTTCGGAGATCCCTCCATTGCATGTATTGAACCATGAACCTCCTTAAAGCGATTTGCATAGCTTTTGAACTCTTGTCCACATTAGGTGGTTGACCAAATACGATTCCACCCTCTCTCAACAAGCGCTTTGATCTTGTTCGTTTTGGGAGCCCTTCCAAGATCCTGAACAACAACATCTCTAGGAACTTGCCTCTGCCAAAGCAAGTGTTCTATATCTCCCATTAAAACCCAACAAAGTGGGACACGTTTAACATTTCTGGTTGCATAGAGATTTCTGTAGCACTCTTCTAGCGCCTATGCACTGCTCAGGGTGAAAACATTTTAAAACCACGTTATAAAATACTGTAAGAAGTGCATCAAAAGCACCGGCTGCCGATATAGAACATGACATTCATGAAGGTACTTAGGCAGTTGGATTGTCTATGCCGGCTGGCAAAAGACAGCCAGATGGAGGTTGGATTCTGTTAGTCCCCCCGTCCCCCCATTGCTGTGCAGCCTTGTTCCAGGCAACCTGGGCACATTTGGGGGAGCGGAGGAGACGCACTTAACTCTGTGTTTTTGTCGCTTCGGTTTCAAGGTCTGTCCAGAGGGGTGGCGTTCATCCGGTTCGACAAGCGCTCGGAAGCCGAAGAGGCCATTTCGAACTTCAACGGCCACAAGCCCCCTGGCTCCTCCGAACCCATCACGGTGAAGTTCGCCGCCAACCCCAACCAGAACAAAAACGTAGCACTGCTGTCGCAGCTGTACCACTCCCCAGCCAGACGGTTCGGGGGCCCTGTCCACCACCAGGCTCAGAGATTCAGGTAGGTTAGGAAGAGCTGACATGGTTGGAGGTCTGTGCTGTGTGTTGCGCTCTCTCTCTCTCTCTCTTCCTCTGCCTCTCTTGGTTTTTTTTGTTTTTTTGTTTTTCGTTTTAAAATCATTACTGCTCATCACCAGGCGAAACACTTCCAGTAGATAGTTAAAGGGAGAGGAGTAAAACACCGACATAAATGTTAATCCATTCCAAAAGACTAGGGTTAACAGTATGTGAAGAGCTTTTGTTCCGATAATTAGTCAATAAAGACCACTTTTCTTGGAATACTTCTTGTTGCCTACCTTCATACGGCCTGATCCTGTGTTTTATCTAATTATATTGCCCAGGGTATTCCATGCTAGCTAAGCCTTTATATCAGCCGTTAGGTAGCATTATATTGGATATCCCAAAAGGAGGGGTCGCAATAGGATTCAATGTAAAATTTGTATCCGGTGATTTCTGTTATTACTTTAACCAACTCTTTCCCAATATTTCTTGACAGTTCACGTGGAACCCATCAGCTTGGTCCCAATTGCACCTCCAACTTCTTCCATTAGATTTTTTTTTTTTTAAAGTTCATTCTGTATAACTTTAGAGAGTTCTGAGGAAAAAAAAGATCTTTCAAAATTAATGGCAGTTGAGTGCTTCTGTCCCCCCCAAATGAATATGTATTCCCACGCTATGTCAGTAATCATTGTTGATGTCCATTTCTTTTCTTATTTCTGTTCCATCAGATTTCTCTCTTCTTATCTCACTCCCTCTCCCCTCCCCCTCAAAAAATAGAATTTAATTAAATAGAGGATTAAAAAGCCTTCCAGGTCTTCCCCGTCCCCTCCCAACCCCGGTTAATAAAGATTGAAAATTTGTCTGTCTGCTCTGATGCTTCACAACAGTGTTTCAAAAGATGGCATTTTAAAAAAAAAATTCTGCAAGAATGGGGTGGTCTGGTACTTAATTGTAATGAACTTATTTCTCATATGGTGCAATTCCAGTACCGCTAAAACAGTATTCTGAAGCATGTAAAAACCTATTCCTTCTCATAGTCTAAAATTGCCGAAGCAAGGTTTTTTTTTTGTTTGTTTTTTGCTTAAAAGGCTTCTTGTCATTTTAAAAACAACCTGTTCTTTTTAATGGCCTTGTGCAGCTGCGCTTAATGGGTTCCACACCTGTGCAGAGCCTCATTCGGGAACATTCTCAGGCTAGGCCAGACTTGTTCTGCTACTTGGTACCGCTTTCCTAACTAAAAATAGTGCTCCAGGTAGTTTATAGAAGTATAAAAAATACATATTGTAAGGCTGGGGGTGGAGGAGCAGGCAATTTAAATAAAACCAGATTGCAGTAACCTCAGCTCTGGTTCCGAGATCTAAAATGCATGCCCGGCAGTCCTGTTTACGGCTAATAAGAGAGCGACAAATACCTGTGATCTTTTAAGAACCCTCAAAGGAACTTTGCACATGTCTGCCTGTGGGTTAGCACCCCAAATAAAGCCGCAGGTTTGCAGGCAGTTGTTGCAGACTGGCAATGAAAAAGCAAAAGCAATGGTTTGTTCTGCAGTTGAGGTTATAATGCGCATACCATGCGGAACAGCGCTAAAAGGGAAGAGGCTGTGCAGTTAAGACACTTTCCCAGGAAACGTGCCTACGTGTCCTTTGTAATAAAGTGTATTAATCTTAGACTTCCGAACTGAGGAAGGAATACTGAGCACTTAAGTTAGATCAGTACGTTTAATTTTGGGGGAAGCAGGTTGGAGACAGGAATGCGACTTAATAAAGAAAAGTAGAATGGAGACTCCCGCCCTCATGAGAAAAGATCCCATTGCTGCTTTGACGGATAGGGACCCCCTTGTCTGGCAAGGCAGGCGTAATTAGGAAACCTTTCCCCATCCCCTGCTTGCAACCCAGAAGAAAAGTTACTCAGAAGAAAAGTCCAAATTGGGCATGCCACATAACGGCATTCCTCATCTTTCCAACATTAGTTTTGGGTTTAAAATAGAAATAAAGGAGAGATTCACGCAGCCTAAGCCCGGAATTTGATGCACGCCTGCCAGGGAAGAAGTTCCGTTGAATTCAAAGCGAAATGCATAATATTATTGTGCTGCTTGCATTGTATCTACTTTCTGCCTAAGACTGGCCCTCTTGATTTCAGCCGCACTTGACTGCAGCAGAATGATGGACTGTGCCAGGTTAATATGGCACAGACCTCCCTGGGCAGTTACTTTTGTGACTTGAGGACCTAAGGCCTAGATCTTTTTAATAGCTGGGTTTGCCCTGCGTCCCAATAGAAGCTGCTGGAGAAACATAACTTCTTTTGCCTTGTGTAGTGTTAGGAATTGGGATTCTGTTCAGATATTTCTGAAACTTAAACTTACCAGCCAGGTCTAGGGAATAACATACTTTTAACAGGCTACAAACTCATCCCTTGTACTGTGGTTCGTTTTTTGTTTTTTGATAGTTTTTTCCCCCCCCCTTAAACCTTTCTTCACACTTTTCCACTTTCATTTCCCGTTCAGTTCTTACAAAAGCCATCTATTTGATTACTGTTTTTGTTTTTAAAGTGTTCTCGACACATCGGTGTTCTTGCTTCTAAAAAAAGATAGTGCTTGAAAAGTTCCATTTCTTTAATAGCAGATAAAATTTTCAGCCATTCTTCTCGTTGCATAATTAAAAGATTGATAAGCTCCCCCTATTGATAAATGTTTCCTATATTGATGATATATACATATATTATTATTTTCTCTGTCTAACACTAGTTTCATAAATTTAGCTGCTACTTTTTACTTGCTGACCAATTTAATATGTGCTTTATTTGCATCTGTTCCTGATCCAAAAGACCTAAGTCGATCTAAGAAACAAAATTAGTCCCTTGAATAGAACTTTCCTTGTAGCTGGTGGAAAGAGTATATAATCTCTTATCTCAAGGTTCAATAGACTTCACCTTGTCTTTGAAACTTCACAATAATGGATACAGTCATCTCTGCCATACATAATACCCCTTGAAGGTTTTCTATCACTTTCTCAGTTGGCAAAATCTGTTGCGCTAGCCCTAGCGTGTAGCAGGGCAGTTCTGCAGTCCAGAACGGGATTGCAGTTCCCTCAGTTTCTCCTTTATGATGTCATTGATCACAAGCCTCATTTGGGAGAAAATAACTAAATCCTCGACTTGGAGCTGGCTGTCTCCTTGCATAAAGCGGAGAGCAGATAGATAGGCGAAGCAGCCACCTAGTCTAGCACTGTCTGCTCTGACTGGCAGTGGCTGTAGCAGAGAGGGACCACGTCTAGCTCTTGCTACCTGAGTTAACTGGGAAATTGACCCTGAAACCCAGTGTGTTTGAAGCATGCAGTGCTGGCCATCTCCCCCCCCCCCCAGTTTAACCACATCCTAGTGCAAATGAGAGCAGTTCCTGTTTCTGCGTCTAGCCCCCTTTGCACACCAGAGTAATTGAGGAAAGGGACGGATAGCAAGTACAAACGGGCTGGCTATGAGTCAATTTCTGTTTGTGGGCCTCTCGGATGTGGCCGCTCTGGGACTTTCTGGGAATCTTATTCATGGTTACTGGTCTTCTTGAGGAGCCATGGAAATCTTTAAAGCAGCGCCGGGCGTCCTTCGGAGCTCAGTGTGAGAATTTGCTTTTACCCCATCAAAAAGTCCCACAGAAATACTAGCAGTTCCTTAATTGTTGATAAAGTACCATTCACTAAAGTTCAAGCCCATAATGTGGGCCAAGTCCTACAACCTGTAAGTTTCGTACAGAAAAGACAAATCAATAATAATGCAGACAAGTCACTCCTTCTGTTGAGTGGGGAATGAGCTAGCAAGATCTCTCACGCCTCTTAGCCTGCTAAGTCCCGCCCAGCACCACTAAATCAGCTACTTTAAAAAGAACCTTTTAAAAACCATTAATACGTAGTTCATTCTTCAAAAGACTTAATAGCAGCAGTTAATAAGCAACAGTTCAGTTCATAACTTGTTTGGGGTATAATTTTTCCCCTGGAAAGCTAGTTATTTCCTCTGTATCTACAGCAGTTGTCTTTCGAGAACCTCATTTACCACAACTTAGGCATACACACACTTTTGAAAACAAAACAAAACAAAACACTAGTCGTGTTGTCAAGATGGCCCTCTCCTAATTTACTGTTCCTCTGGTTTTTTGGATTTCTTATTTCACTTGCTTATGTGTCCTTTTTTGTTGGTTGTTTTTTTTTTTAAAGTCCTTACTCATTTTTCACACGATGCTTGTTGTAAACTCCTCCTCAGTAGTTGCTTCTTCAGTGAATCCCTTGCATGTTTTTCTTTTTGATTTCTCCAAAAGTGTAGAGTCAGATGGGTATCTTTCAGAATTCTTGTCGTAGAATTCTTGTCACATGTTAAATAAATACATGTTCTTCTATCTGCCTGTACTCAGCCTCTTCCATGTAAGATGATGGTCCCCACCCCCCGAAAAAACAAGACAACCACCCGTGTTAATGTTTCTGACAGTGCTACAGCCCTGAATGTTGACTGTAACTGGCTCGGGGTCAGAACCAGTGGCTCAATTCAGATGAAATGTCAAGCTATGGTGTGGCAGGCCCAGAACAAAACGCTTTTAAACGCAACCTTCCCTTTCTCGTGTTTGCCACGATGTCTGGATCTGGGGGGCGGTGGTTAGAGCTTTCCTCCTGAAAGCCTCGTTCCGAAATGCCGATTTCTGGTTTTGGAGGGGAAGCGCTCACCACAGCCTGCCGGCGTCAGTGTCTCCGCACGTCATGGCTAACCCCAGATGGGAAATGGAAGGGGATCCGCCGAAGGGATTGTGTCTATTGGTGGCTCAGTCGCATTCCTCCAGACTGGAGGGTCATCTGAACTGATCCTTAGTGGCAAACGGTGGCCATATTGTATGGGCCTGGTGCCTTGAATAATCACTTGGCTAAGCAATTCTCTATGCTCCTCTTAAGAACAAAGTGTGTAGCAATGCCCCCCCCCCCAAAAAAAACCCTGCAGTGCTACTCTTCCACAACCAGATAGTTGCTAGCCGCTGTGCCCTTTGGTTTTGCTTCATAAAGGATGCATTATTTTGTCTTGTCAGAAAAAGCAGTCCTACATAACCTGTTTTTGTTTTTAGAAAAGCACACAGTGATCATATGCTCTGCAGGTCCAGGTGGTCAAGCCCGGGGGTCACTTTGCAGATAACCTAGGTCACCGGGAGGGAGAATAAGTAGCGGTGAGAAAGTCACTGACGAACTGAAAGGGGAAAGAGCCCTTTGTGCTGTTTGCTAGAAAGATGCCAGGCCTAACAGCAGGGAGTTTCCTTTCACGTTATTGGGAACGGGGTGGCGAGTCCGGCAGAGTGGTTAGGGAAGGAGGATGAGAGCCTTAATATCTCCCTGTGCATCCAGCTCCACTTGCCTCATTCCCGACTACTGAACACTCTGAACCAAGAGGTCACTTGGCTCAAATGGCGTCCTTGTGCAGGCAGATCTAAGTCGTAGAATTGTATGATGTAGAAGGGGCCAGAAAGCCCATCCAAAGCCCTTTTGCCCAATATCGAGTGCTCCTTGTGGGCCCTTTCAGAATGCCACTTGAGGAGACAGACCACTGGGGTCCCGCAGGGGGCAAGGCACTAGCCCTTTGCCAAGGGGGTCTCCGCATCAGCCTCTGACATCGCTGACAGGACTGTAAGCCTGACAATGCGCAGGGCACAGCCTCCGAAAAATGTCTGTGCAAGCCCTGCTGGTGTGGGTGGTAGCAGCTTGAGTGCACCTTGGGCCCAGCCCACTCTGGTTCATTTTGCTGGGACCTGCGCAGGAGACATTCCTGGTAGATCGGTGGCTTTCAGCCTGGCAAATTCTAGAGGGGCAGCTGCCTCTGTCTGTTGCAGTAAACACAGCAGAGGGACTGGCGGCATCATTAAGATGACAAGTAAATTTACCGCGGCCTGGCTTTGGTGGACTAGAGCCGCTGCTTCATCAGATGCATAACAAGTTGCAAACAAGTCATGAAGTCCATGGGGCAGAAGCAAAAGTGCGGGTGTTTAGGCGAAGAATAACGTGGCCCATTTATAAAACAGCAAATCTTGGTGATTTGTTGGCAGCCTGCAATGCTAACTGAATGCCTGTGACGCGAAAGAGATCTACGGCCCCAATTTGAGTCATGGATTTCCATTGTGTGGTCCTAGGATTGTGGGTTTCACAATCAGGATTGTGGGTCTCTTTCACACTTCTACCATAACGTAGCTCTGTGTGTGAGAGAGGGAATTCCTTGGTCGACTGTGGACAACACCTCCTGACCCCATCTTTTTAGAGAAAATGTTTTTAGAAAAAGCCTAAGGTTCTTATTTCAGGCCACTTTTTAATTCATTGCTTTTTTATGTACCACTTTTATTCAATGTCTTTCTATTAATTATTGCTGCTCAATCTTTTTTTGGTGGGGGGTGTATAGCCTGGTTTTTAATTGATGCCTCTGTGTTTTGATGTTTCACGGTTATGAATGATTATACAGTGGAGCCTCGGTTGTCGAACGTAATCCATTCCGGAAGACCGTTTGACTTCCGAAACGTTCGAAAACCAAGGAGCAATGAGCGGCCGGCCAAATCCATTGAGAAACTTTAAAGACATGCACGGAAGCCGTTTGACTTCCGAGGCGCATTCGAAAACGGAAGCAATTACTTCTGGGTTTTTGGCGTTGGGCTTCCGAGGCGCTCGAAAACCGAGGTTCCACTGTATCCCTAAAAAGGGCTGCATGTAAACCGGTTAAAGTAAAAGCAAATAAATCATTTTTTTAAAAAAACAGCGCATCTGACGAAGCAGGGCCTAGTCCACGAAACGCTGACGCCGCGCCAAATTCCAACAGCCTTTAAGGCGTCCCAGGGAGACTCTGTCTTCTTGCCAAAACGCAGCGCCCGGGTGCTCTGAACCCCCCCCCCCCCGCCCAGCGCTCCTAACCTTTTAATTCCCCCAGTGAGCTTCTCTCTTTTTTTTTTGAACTTGATTGAAACTGACTTTTTTTGTTTTGTTGTTTTGTTTACATGAACTATTTTATGTCCTTTTTTATTTGGTAGGTTCTCTCCTATGGGTGTAGATCACATGAGTGGGCTTTCTGGTGTAAATGTCCCAGGAAACTCCTCTTCGGGATGGTGCATCTTCATCTACAACCTCGGCCAAGATGCCGATGAGGGAATCCTCTGGCAGATGTTTGGCCCCTTTGGCGCGGTGACTAATGTCAAAGTCATCCGCGACTTCAACACCAACAAGTGCAAAGGATTTGGCTTTGTGACAATGACAAACTATGAAGAAGCCGCCATGGCCATAGCGAGTCTTAACGGCTACCGGCTGGGGGACAAAATCTTGCAGGTTTCCTTCAAAACCAACAAATCCCACAAATAATTTCGCTCGTGGCTTTTCTTTTTTTTGTATGGAATAGATAAGTGACGGAAAAAGTTTGAAACCTTTCTTTTTTTTGTTTCCGTTAGTGTACAACTCGATTCTTCTTCTCTTTTTTTGTTTTGCGCCAGTTTTCACACAAAGAAAGTTGTTTGTCTTTAGTCTAAATGAGAAGTGGGATAAAAGGGTTTTTATATATTCTTGGGATGCCACCAACATGTTCAAATGTTTCGGGTTGTTTTTTTTTTTTTTTTAAGTCCTGCAATTGTTTTATCGGTTTTTAATTTTAGATGGTTCTGCTCCATGACCTTGTCCCCGAGCCAAAAATAATAATAATACATACATCTATCTATATATATATCTCAACAATTACCAAGTAGAATCCAGACCAGCCCTGAAAACGGCCAGGCTTGCTTTCCCTTAAAAGGTTAGCTGTTGATTTCACTGCCAGGACAGGGGCATTTCAACCAAGCTTCAACATAACGTTGCCCCTGGTAGCCGAGGGCAAAGCTTGGAAACTGGAATTTTTAGTTAGCGGAAAAGTTTGTTAATCCGCAGAAGGAAAGTGTCTGTAAAGAGACTCTGGTAAACGAGAGCGTGCCAGCGTTCAGTTAACGCCATTGACCAAGTTCATTGGTCAACAGGCGCATTATTATTTTTAATGTCAAATTGGAACAGCTTTTTTAGCCCGTCCCTGCCCCCAGTTTCCAATAAGAATGGACCAAAGAGTTTCAGAGAAACTCTGGGAAGATTTCAGAGTAAAAATGAAACTCCAAACCCAGCGTTGCCACATCCTTGGAGTTCTTCCCTCCAGGTAGCACATTGTATTGTGTTACGTTCTGGTCAGATAAATGTGGCATGATCTAACATTAACTTCCTTTCAAATATAATTTTTTAGTTCGAATTCTTGCATCCTTAGGGTTTTTTTTTTAATATATATATAAAGCTGTTAATGAACATTTGAGCATTGTCATTTTTTTGCATCCCTTCTAATAAGTACTAGACGATTTCCCCCACTATTTTAATAGGGGTTTGTTCTGACGATAGCTTTACATATTTGAACTCTCAGCAGAAAAGTACATTAAAACTTGGAAGGTAGAGATTTAAGAGAGAAAATAAATGATTATTTTTTTCTTTTTTGGGGTAGACTTATACGATTTTAATTAATCCCCTGAGTTTTCTGCAGGCTGCCTTGAAACTTTGAGTTCTGTTTTCTGTTAATTTTCTTTTGCTTTTTTGTGTTTTTGTTTGTTTTTACTTTTGCATTTAAGACCAATTAAATTTGATTTGGTTTTGCTCAAATTTTGTTTTGGTTTGTTATTTTAATTTTTAACCCCCACTCCATATTATTACACAGCGTCCGACACGAAAGATTAACAGCAGCTCTTTTCCCCGGTAGGAACGATCTGGTGTTTCTAAAGTGCCACAATGATAAACCCGACCAGTTAGGAGACTTGAGGGCTTACATATACGAATCCTCTGCAACCAGTTTTGACATAGCGAGGGTTTGTAAGGGCACAAGAGTTTTCCAGAAAACACGTAGGCAGTAGGTCCATAGAGTGTGCAAAAAGCAGAAAGGTTGTGCCCAAGGGAACCCTGATCCAATCCTAAGAATGACCTAAGTCTGCCACACACCACATTTGAGAAGCCCCCTTGTGCATGCCCGGTGAGGGGCTCGGTCATTGCATCCTGGAGTCCTCCACCAGTCTCCATCCTTTTCGAGCCTGCCCCAAGGCTGCCTGCATCTACAGCCGCACCACAACCATTCTCTGCCACCGCACTGAGGACTGGCCAGGAGGACTTGGAGCGGCCCCTTGGCGCAGCAGGAGAGGGTTGCCTCAGACTGGCTACACCACCCACGCCCGTAAATCCGCCGTCAGAAAAAGGACTTGCTGGCAAAGCCTGCAAGTTGCAATTCCGAGGGAGATTTCGGGCCCTTTCCTGGCTTTGAGTGGCCGTCTTTCATAACAATGCTGTTCCAGCCAGCACACAGGAGTTGGGATTTCTGTATCCTTATGATGCTTTTTGTGTGTACACCTTATGACATTTCTCGTACATCTTCGTTATGCAAAGGCAATTTCTTTGTAGGAAACGATGCCCTTGCATATCTTCATCAGGAAACTTCTTAACAACGTTCCAAGTAACTTGCTTGGCTTCTGAGAGAGTGCATCACCTCATTAACCAATTTCTTGAGGTCTCAGATGTACACCACACATATATGATGTTCTTCTTCTCTTACAAACTAAGCAGACCCTCTAGATAACGGCTTCCCTAATTACCCATCCTCTTGGAGGTTTTCATCGCGATTTCTGGCATCTTTCTGGAAATGCTCTGATCATTAAGAAGTCTTTGGCCTGTGGAAACAATCCAGCAAGATGGATTTACAGAACAGCTTGAACTATAAGCCTTCTTGCTAGTTTGCTTGGTGTGTTTTGTTGTCGTGGACTTCTCAAAGTCCCGAGACAATCCACATCTCTGCTGTGTGCCGTTCTCAATATCGGTTGATCACAAACCGCATTCGTTCAGCCTTTGCTTCCTTTCCCCTCCCTCCTGCCAGTGTCCCTTTGCCATTCCCACAGGAAATGTTGGGGTTGTAAACTGGGAACTGACCTGATACCCTATTCAGACCCAGTTCAGCTGTTTGGAATCAAGGACGTGGCGCCAGCTGGCGTTTCTGAGAGCACCACTGCGGACTCTCGCTAGGTAATGCTCTCTCTATTGCAGTCCCTGGGCATCTCGCAAGAGTACGAGGGCACAATTCAGTTTGGAGTTTCCTTTGCAAACCTCACCGAAACGAATACCATCTTGTGGAAGCTACCCTTTAATTTCAGTGGGTTTGGCATCCAGGCACACTTTTCCAGTGGATTGCGTTCTTGGATATGCCCAGTAGCATTCAAAGACAGCTCTTCAGAGCCACTTTTACAGAGCCTTCTTAAGTCACCTGGAAGTCTTCAGCAGCGAATGTCCTTGTGGCATCGTTGTTTTCTCTTTTTAAGAACTCTAATGCTTCTTCCTTCGTTTCTCCCCTTTTAATGCCGCTTCGTATGGAAAGCGCTGTGCTTTATACGCTGGGTGGTCGTAGCTTGTCAGGAATTGCTTCTGTTCCTCCTATATTTGTGCCCCGCTGCCTTTCAGGTAATGGATTTTTTTGTCCAATCAGGAAGCGTCTGCTCGCAAGTCTATTGGTAGCTCAGTTTTGGATCTTGTAGGTTCTCGTGGTCCTTGCATTTATAACCTTTTCTCTGCTTCACTTTGCGTCTTCCCGGAGTCTTGTCCTGGTTGCCATCTGCCCAAACCTTCCCAGGACTCACATTCTCCTGTGCTGTCTTCATCCTGGCAGGTCTGCAGCAGCTCTTGAACTCCTAAGTATATTTCCAGGTAATGTTTGGAAGGGCTCCCATCAAGGGCAAAACTGCATTGGAAGTCCATTTCCGAATCTGATGTAGACCTAAAAAAAAGGGTTATCAGAAAAGCCCCTAAGTAATCACATCATTGGGCTCTCCTACTGTATGGCGACTCTACAGCTGCAGTTACTTTTTGTATTTTCATTAGATTGCTTCCCTGACCCCATGAAAATCTTATTGCACTAAAACAGCATCCCCCCCCCCAAATGGAATCAGTTGCAAAAGGTGCCAAATATCTCTGTGTTTGTCTCATCCTGGAATAACAGCATCCTCTTGTTCTTCGTTGAGTTCCAGCTTGAGTTCCTCTTGGGCGAATATCGCAGCTTTGCCTCCCAATCCTCCAGAGTTGCCTTCATGCAGATATCGACGAGAGCTACAGGTGCGCTCAATCAATATGAATCGACAGCAGTCAAATAAGTGGATTAGGGCCCGTTCTTGACAAGACCGCAAACGGTTGGATTTCATTTCTTCTACATGCCTCCTCTCTCGGGGAAGAGTTGCTCTCAACCCTGGGCACAGAAGTCTCTCAATCCACAAAGCCCTGCAAGGAGATAAAGATCACTCTGTGGAGTCCGTGCTTAAAGCATTGCCTTCCTGTCACCCCACAGCTTCCTCTCGGTGCCAGACCCAATTCTGCAAAGCCCGCCAGCGCACGCTGAGCTGGCTAGAGGGAGCCTGAGCCGCTGCGTTTCACTGAATCGCTGGCTTAAGCTGCCAGCAGTAAAAGGCTCTTCCCACCCCAAGCTGGCAAAAGCCATCACTTGTGTCAGAATGCAGAGATGGCAGGGAAAGTCAGTTCGTGGAATTGGAATACTTCCTGCATGTGGTATGTGAGATTATTACATAATCTCAGGTTGGCCAGCTGTCTTGGATTCCCTTTATTTTTTTTAAGGATTGCGAATTTGTACAGGGACAGATTTCCTTTTTTAAAAAAAGGGTACAGCAGGTGTGCTTATCATTGCAATTCTTTTTTGGTGGCTGGGGAGCAACGCAGCAACCATTTTGTAGAAGACTCCTAAGCTGACTGGCGCAAACCAAATGCCCAAGTTTTCCTTCCTCCCTGAGAGAAATCGAAAATATTCCGTGCAAACGTCTCCCTGGCTTATTACACTGGCTGTTAAAAGAGTTTCCCATTGTTGGGCTAACAAGATGGTGACCTCAGGTTGTCTCAAAGGGCTTGTTTGGCTCTCAGGTTTAAGCTTTGCGCAACTCTCTCCTTTTCATGTCCTTGAGGTTTATCCCTGAACATTTCCACCCTGGCTTAAAGAAAATGAATTGAGCCATTTGATCAGTTAGCTACAAGTGGCTTTGTGTATTATTATTATTTTGGAAACCATGTCGTGAAGCATGTCTTAAGAGGAACGATTGGCAGCGATTTCCACGTTCCCCCTATAATGTTGCCAAATTACGAGTGTATTGTGTGTTTTTGTTGCATAATAGTTTAGCCCATCTATCTCAAACCAACCCCCTCCAGCCCCAAAACATTGCATCTTCCTCTCCCAGCTTCTTGCGGACGAGGAGTTCTTGAATAAGAAAACTCACCCTGATTTAGCTCCCCCTGCAGCCGCAAACGTCACTGAGCCAGGACATAGCTACACCCGTTCCTTGAGTGCTTTTAAGTGACCCGCGGTCCTGCCCCAGTTTCAGAAATCCCACTGAAGGGAAAGGTGCAAGTCGAACGATGGAACCTAACAGCTAAAAGTTTTGCATATATGGAAATTTGCTGTGGGAGCGGTCGTCTCCGCCTCCCCAGGCATAATGAAAATTTGTGGATTTCATTATCTTAACCCTGTTCCTCCTTTTTTAAAAGGGTGCTTGGTGTAATATAGAAGGTTTTCTTGTGGTTTTTTAAAAAAAGAAATCACAGCTCACGATCAACGCTGCTTGCTTTTTTCTTTTAAGTTCCAAAATCGGGTACATGACACTTTTATCTGCCTCGTCTTTTTATCTGTAGCATTTTTGTGTAGTGCAAACGATCCATTTCCGGAATAACATAAGCTCTTCTATTTCTCCCAGTGCATGATTTAAAAAATAAAGAAGCATCATTATTAGTGTGGCAAGCAAAGTGTGAACCCACATCACACGCAGTGACTGGCACGCCTACGGCCCGGGCTGCCGACCCTTCTTACATCCCACTGACTGACTTTTATAGGTTTACTGAAAATTTCCGTTTCGTTTCTGTTTATAATTTAATTTATTTTTTGGTTTGGTTTTCTTTTCCCCTGTTGCGTGGAGTTTCTATACTTTCGCCTAATTCTAACGAAAACCCAGCCAAATTCGATTCTTTATATATATATAAAAAACGCCATTGCTTTATTTGTGCTAACGTTTCCGAAGGAAGGTTGAAAGGATTCTCGCCGAGAACGGTTTTGGTTTTCTCTGTTTTTTTATTTCGTTTTTTTTAAAAAACGCTTCGCCGTATATTGAGCAACTTTCCCACCCCACGAGGTCATTTTAAGAAGGAACAGTGGAAAGATATTCGGAGCTTTTATGTTGAGACGCAGCTCTCCTTTCGCCCGTAAGTTGAAATAGTCCGTGTACGTTCAGGGTGGGTGCCATCTGCAGTCGTTAACGCCAGTTTTGCAATCGAGTTCAGTGAGCTGTAAATGGCACCCTCCCTCGGCTTCCCTTTTTATCTCTAGTGTAACCTTATTTTTTCCTTTCTTTTTCCTTTTTTCTAATAAAGTCGTCTGCCTGTGCAAACAGAAGGCTTTTAATCGGTTCCCACCCCCCCCATACTGTACAGTATATATGCTTAAGACTTTTTTTTGTATATTTAGCGTGTTTTTAAGTTATTGATTTTGTTTTATATCAAATAATTTATTTTTCAGGTACCACTTTTTTCATTTTAACTTTGTTTTTAACATGGGTTTACTTTAAATAAAGTATGACGCTGCTATCCAGATGTCTAAGCCGCAGTTGAATTTTCCCCTCGTTGTCTTTCGAGTGCCCCTGGCGTTGTCAGAAAAATCGCACCCAAGGCCTCCTGCTAGCTTGGTCGGACATTTAAAGTTGGGGGGGTCTCGTCACGGGGAAAGTTAAAGGCAGGCTTCTCACACACGACACGCCCCGAGAACCAGGAGCCGAAACATTCTGCGATTCGTTGACGACACAACACCATGAATTTTTTTATTTGGAAATCCTGTTGAAACTTTTGGCAGCTGGGCAAGAGTGAGGGGAAATGTGTGCAACCTGCCAAAAACAAAAACCTGTGCTAGAGAAAGATGAATCTTGCATTCCGATAGGCGAATTTGCACAATTCTGCTTTCCCCCCCTCTCAACAGAACTTCACCCTCAACTTCTGAAAATCTTATTTGCCCACCTGTCTAGATTCTGATTTATTTTAGCAGACATCACCGGTGATGTTGCACCTCTGCAGCCATTAGGCCTCCAAACCTCTTTTTCTTTTAATAAAACAAAGCCTGAGGTTCTCGCACGATGCCAAGCATCTCCTAACCGCCCCCCCTTGTACCCTGTTCTGATTTAGTGGAGGCTATCAGCTGGGTTTCCCTTCTTCTAGGTGCTGAAATGGTTTGGACCGGCCCTGTCTGACACCCCCAAAAGGAACCTTCAACCATCACATGTTGAAAAGCCCATGTCACACAAAAAATGAGAAAGTCTCCAGTCCGGACGCCTCTGGAATAGTCCTGAAGCTATGAGCACCTGCTCTCTCTCTCTCTCTCTCTCTAACCCGACTCCATAGCACTTGTCATCCTACATGCAGCTAACCAAATCACATGCAGGATTTGCAGCTGACTCCAGAACAGCTGCGGATTTTTGTTCCTGTTCTTTTGCACCACCCAAAGTATGTTTGTGAGCGTGAACGCAGCCCTGGTTGGGATTGTGTGTGTGTGTGTCCCCCCGATACTTGTGTCTTTCAAAACGGCGACACTAGCTACTGCCAGGCATAATTTGCACACATTGAACAGGCTTGTGTAACGTCTCTGACTTTGTATAAAATAGATCCTAGACTGCTTGTCGCAAGAAAGGAAGCAGCGCAGGGCTGCTGAAGCCCCTTTCCATGCCACAAACACAAAACACACCTTACTTAACCTGCCTCTGGCATTGGGGGCCTACCGCTGAGCTTGCTTTCCACCTCTTCTTTCCTCTTGAGAAAAATTTCAATTTTTAGTTTCGTTGTTCTGTATGGGACAATGACAAGAAAGATGATCGTATCACAAAAAAATCTGCAGCCAATTCCACATTCCCTTAACATGCTTGTGGACGTGCAGTCCAAACTAGAGTTCGAATTTCAGCTTTGTGAGAAGTGCGGTTTCTGCAAAGGTAGAACTGCGCTTGGGGTTGCCACAACCCTTTGGGGGCAGGTGGGCACAGCTGGCATCCCGGGGTGTGTGGCAGGACACGGGCTGCTGGAGGATACCAGACCAAACAATGCAGGCATGCTCCCCAGTCATTGGGCAACAAGGCTCCCACCTCAGCCCTGGTGGCGCCGACTCACCGAGAGAAGCTTTTTTGTACCACCTCTGTTCAGAAAGGGGAGGGCTGCCCAGTCCTGGCATCCAGGGGAACATGGGCATGTTCAGGGCGGAAGAGGCCGAGCCACGGAAAGAGGAATTGAGTAGGGAGAGCGAACTGGTGCATTGTTGAGTTTTGAGGAGATGGTTCACCAAAACCCTTTCTGGTTGCCATAGGAGGAACCGGTGGGCACAGGCTGGCATAAGTGCCATGCTGAGGATCACAGTACAGTGCTTACCTTCTGTGTGTCAGTTCGTGTACAACCAGTCCAAACTTCAATAACTTGGTATATGAGGTTATCCTGAAAGCAAGTGCCTTGCTCTTAAAAAACTTGAAGTCCTTTAATACCAGTTTTTAAATCTTTCCTCCGAGCCAAATTCTGTACCGTGGCAACTGGCAATTGCAGCCAGCGCTCCGCAACTAACATTAGAAACTTCCCTCTTCTCTCCTTTCAAATAAAACACCTTTTCCAGCAGAGAGCGCTCTGCCCTTGAAACCTACTTCTCCAGTTTCAGCTGTTTCCCCCTCCTTGCAAGCCTAACTTTTTCTTTTTTGAGGAAGTGGTAGGTTTTTGTATTCCAGATCTGCAAAGCTGCACATAATTCCCGAACGCTAAATGGCAATTCGTTATCACGGTGTGTCAGTTCCCAGAAAATTAACTGAGTTGCATTTTGGTCCCTTATCCAAAGAAAAGCAGGCCCTTTTCCCAAAGGACGAAAGAGAGAAGTTATCAATTTCAAAAGATGAAAGAGAGAAGTTATCAATTTCAGTGCCAATATTTTCAACAAAACACTAGCAGTGGCTCTGTGTGCTACCCAGTCGTGTGGAAGGCAAGGAAACGTTTCTTCCCAATGCCTAACCACGCACGGTTGTGATGATTGTTATGACGTAGGCAAAAACCACGAGCCCATTTGCCAAGTGGGGGGGGGGAGTCCTGCCTGGCCCCGAATATGGCGGCCGACACAAGGTCTAGCATGGAAGCAAAACGTATGAGTAAGGGATGGTGGGAGATCCAACAATGTAAACACAAGGAGGCTGGGGACTGGGAACGTACAAAAGCGATGAGTATTGACCATTTGGGCCCGACCCCTGGGGAATTCCTGCTCCAAGGTCCAGACGACCATTGGCCAACCCACAGCTAGACTGCAATTCACCCCTCCTGGTCGACATCTCCAGATCTCGGACGTCCAACCCCAACTGACCACCAGAGGTAAGTGGATCTAATAAAATGAAAAATGTGGACCCCAAGCTTTGTTTCCTTTCTATTTTTCTTGGGGTAGTGCTGCCCTTCTGTTGTGACTCCATCCCGTGAGGGGAGACGATCCAAATTCTGGTCGCCGCACATTCCCTCGCTCAATATCTCTGGTCTACAAGACGCAGTAGGGGAGAGGAGGTGAGGGGTCAGGCCTGCCCCACTTTGCTTTGCCCTCGAGCCCCACATCCAGTGAAGTCTCCCTGACACGCGAGGGAGATGAAGAGAAACAGGCGCGTGAGTGGACAGGTTGGGAACCTGCTGATGGGACAGACAATGGTCTTTGGGGGGTGGTGGAGTGGAGAGGTATTGTGACACTTTGGGAAGAGGGGGAGCTTTGTAAGAATGACAATGTTGTGATCTTAGCGTCTGATTTAGGGCGGCAGGACCGGTTCGCCCAAACTGAGCACCGCAAAGGCGGATTTTTCACAGGGCGCCACTGAGATGTCAAAGCCCAAAGTCCGCCACTGTCTCAGGGAGGGAAACTTGAGGTACAGTCAACCTCGGCTCCTAAACAGCTCCGTTTTCGACCGTTTCGGCTCCCAAACGCCGAAAAACCAGAAGCAAATACTCCGGTTTTCGAACATTTCCCATAAGCCAAACTTCCGCTTGAAGGCAGGAAGCTCTTGCGACCAATTGGAAGCCACACCTCGGTTGTCAAACGTTTCAGAAGCCGAACGGTCTTCCGGAACAGATGACGTTCGACAACCGAGGTTTGACTGTAGTTCAGGGGAAATTGTGTTCCTGAGGGTAGGGACCCCTGTTCAAACTGAATGCAACCTCCAGGAGACAGCCAAACCACATGCTCAAATCTTTATTGTTAAAAATATCAATGATTTGGTTCCCGAATGTCGTTTCTGTTCCGTTTGGTAAGCACCAGATAAAGAGGTGCAGGGGAAGGTCAGTGGTCCTGGTGGTTCTCTGACAGATGGAAAATCCCCGAAGGAAGGATTGTGGACCCGTAGCTGCTTACACCGGGTAACTAGCAACCTCTGCTACGCCACACTGATTGGATCCTCTTTTCAGCAGAATGTAGCCACCTTCACCCCAGTTGGGACCCCAGCTGCAAAAGGAAGATAGAGGGGGAGAGAGAGTCTCCGTAAGTAGTAGTTTCAGAAAGCAATGAGAGGAGAGTGGGATGACTCCCAGGTGGGGTCAGACGAAGGATGCATGGACCTGTTAGTTTTGCTTCCCTTCGTTTCACATGCTTCCAGTCTAAAATTCAGTTCTCACAATTTCTGCAGCCATTTGTGATTGCTTTTTTCTACTTTGAACCCCTTCGTGAAAGTTCACCAACACTTTTCCAGTGAGTGCATATCTCTATGAAATTTGGATATAAGGAAGCTTGCATTGGGACACGGGTGGCACTGTGGGTTAAACCCCAGAGCCTAGGGCTTGCCGATCAGAAGGTCGGCGGTTCGAATCCCCGCAATGACGGGGTGAGCTCCCGTTGCTCGGTCCCAGCTCCTGCCAACCTAGCAGTTCGAAAGCATGTCAAGTGCAAGTAGATCAATAGATACCGCTCTGGCGGGAAGGTAAGCGGCGTTTCCGTGCGCTGCTCTGGTTCGCCAGAAGCGGCTTAGTCCTGCTGGCCACATGACCCAGAAGCTGTACGCCGGCTCCCTCGGCCAGTAAAGCGAGATGAGCGCCGCAACCCCAGAGTCGTCCGTGACTGGACCTAATGGTCAGGGGTCCCTTTACCTAAGCTTGCATTGGCCTGGCTAGCCTCAGTATTGTCCATTCTGCCTGGTTACAGTGGCAGCTCCAGGAATTTAGGCAGAAGTATCACCCAGTGTGACCTGGAAATGTGAGGGGTTGGATCTGGGACCCCCTAGGTGCAATGTGTACACTCTGTCCACCCAGGTATCCCAATTTTCCCTGCTTTGCCAGGCAAAGCCCCTCCTCACCCTCCACGACAATGATCAATAAGCTCCCACAGCACTGCACATCCATTTCTGGCACCCAGGCTCTCTGCCCTACCTGTTCTTTATGATCCAATAAGGAGTTCCGTTCTGAGTCCCATAGCCAACGGCCAGGACGGCGTGGTTCAAGGATGTCCCGCAGTTGGGGTAGTCAAAGACTCCTAGATGGAGGGGAAACAAATTTAAGGTCATATCATTACTTATCTCCTTGGCTTGGGGTGTGTTTGTTGCATAACCCCATCCCCTCCAATGTTT